CAGGAATGGTAGGAAGGCTGAGGAATTCCAGAAATGAGCTGTGATGATACTCTAAATAGGGAAAACTTTGGGGAAAGTTTGGTCATTTAGTGACTGCAAATCTGTACTCTCAGCCCACCCAAGGCTCTTAAGACTGAGCTAAATGCCATCTGTAACTTCACTCATGAGTAAATGAGATGAAACCAGGGTTAGAGTTTTCTCAGAACACCTTAGGGAACGTGGCAAAAACTTGGTCTCAAGTATTAGGGTCCGATCCTAGAAGTCACGGTACACTTCTGGAACTACACGGCCAACACAGATGTGATTCCGCTACTTCATCACTTCTCTTCACACTAAATTTCAATTATTGAAAGCTGCAGCTCTCCCTGCGAACTTTCACAATAACCATCCTGAATAACAAATGGAAGTGACTACCCAAGATAGTCCAAGCTACGTAGTAAGCAACTGGTTTTCTTCTCAAGGCTAAGACCCTAAATATACAGAAATATATTCCCTTAATGTAAAGAACATTTTCCTCTCCATCTTTCATCTCCTATAATAATATAAGGTAATGCTACCTTATATTATTATAAATGAGATTTTAACTGGGAATATATTGGAAACCTTGGATCCCCTTTGAAGGTCAGCTGATGTCTAACAAAACAATGCATAAACACTTGGACTTACTGTATAAGAGGCTGGCTTGAAGATGAAAGATCAATATGATTAAACCAAAATGAATAAAAGAAACATCAACTTACCTGTTTGTTTCTTTCAAACCGATATATGCTTGTGCTATTTCGCCTTTATCTTTCATTTTTTGTACGTCTTCTAAAAGTATTGTGGAATCTGTCATTGTATTCTGAAGGGGGAAAAGACACATTTCCACATTAAGTGTTAACTCTAAAGCTTTGGACCTCATACAACATTTTTCTTTCCTCCAGAATAGGGGGTTTATGTGTTCCACAACACCTCTGCCCCACCAGAGCGTCTGCCCTAGCCCCGGTACAACTACAGTGGGGTACAGGCAGTTAAGAGGAAGAGGCACCTCTAGTCCCTCTCTTGAGAATCCCTAACACTCTACTACAAAGGTAGTGTGATTCTAGAGTAAATAAAATCACTGATGGGCCACGTGTATTTTACACTGTGTGTGTGTGTGTGTGTGTACACACACACACACACACACACACACACACACACATATAGTGTAAATATATATATATTCAGTGTCCTTGCCTGATTATTATTCTAATGTTGTATATATACTTTAAAAAATATACATATAAACTATATACAGCATTAAAATAATAACCAGGCAAGAACACCAAGTATTCAATGCAATGTACAAAGCTGTTCTTTCTTCTACTTCCGGACCAGTTATAACAAAACAAATGCCCTAATAAACACGAAAAGTTTGACATAAAGCTCATTTTTCCATTAACAACTCAGTACAAAAAAAGTGGTATTCAGATGATGTGTTTCAGCAAAATTAAATGTTTTTTTCCTCACATCTTTAGATATATATAAATGGGAAGGATTTAGCTCCTTGGAAATATCTACCATCTGCTGTTATTCAATTCTTTTTTCCTCTGTTACAGTATAGCATGGTACATAAGCTTTTGAAATAAACATCTGGCAGGTCAGAATTACTAACGATTTTGCATAGAAAGGACTTTCCTTCTAACATTTTTACTTCCTTTTTTATTTTTTCTTTTTGGTGTAATCTGTCTGACAACCAATGTAATTTCAAAATCTTGCTTCTACTCAGCCACTCTCTCTCTCTCCTAAACCAGGGCAAGAATAGACAATAAGAACAACTGCCCTATAGCCTCTAAAGAATAATACTCTTTAGAACCCAAGAGTCCATTCTGTTTGTCTAAATAGTATATGTCTGATCCTTTAGTCAACGTTTGCTCTAAAGCCAGATCTCACAGTGAAGTGGAGATTATAGAATACACTTCAAATATCATCATCTTAGAGACCAAGATAACTTTAATGTCAACTAGAGGCCTACAAATACTCGCTTTTGAATTCCAGTGTTTATAATAAAAAACATCCTTTTTTAAAAAAAATCCCACTTTTATCCTAATGCTGTCCTTTTGTGAGTCTATAAATGCACACTTAGAGGAGACCGAATACAATCTGATAAGAGCTATTAACAAGAGCTTATGTTTTACTGATTTTTAAAAATCTTTCCCATAAACACCACATATAGCATTTTTATAAATATTCTAGGTATGTTTTATAAATATTTTAGTACATATTTCATAGAAAATTTCTTTTTCTCTTTTATTGAAAGGCAAAAAATCTTTCTACTCTATAAAGGGCCATACTCAGATTTTTAAGTTTTAAATAGTAACTCAAAGAACCAGTTTCTACGTTAAATAACGCTACATGTATTCTTTGACATCTGAGGACCTACATGATCTGGTTTTTAACTTTTAGTAAATTAGGTAAGTAGATCTAATGAACTCATCCAAAGGAAAGATAGTAGAAAGTAGCCAGTCCTTCCCTTATCCGGCCTATCATAGCTAAGAAGCAGGGGTTAGGCATGGGGTCAGACTTGGACTGCCAGCGCTAGGAAGTTCCTGACTCACTGCTCAAAGAGTCCCTGCCAACACAGGACCAGAAGTTCTGAAAGGGTTGCACCATGTAGGAAAATCCCACTCTTCCCAAGAAGGGCATGCTCAGCTCCTCAGGCCCCTCCTCACCCTTGGCCAACAAACCCACAGCTGGCAGAAATGAGAGCATGGGAGAGCTTGCACTTCGGAGTGTGCTCCAAGTTAAGGGCTTCCCTCCCCCGCTCGTGGATGGCCTGCCATAACTACTACTATGAGTCACAGAGCTGACTACGAATTCAAAAGTCATGGAGGCCTCTCTGCGATCCAGACTGGAGCCTATGACGTCCATTATTTTCCCACTGACTTCTCAAATAGTAGGGGGCCAAATAGGAAATTAATTTGTAAATATCAAAATAGACTTGTTGGCCAGAAAATATCAACTGCAAAACTGGGGGATACTTGTAAAAATCAGGATTAAATAGAAGTGTTTACTAAAAATTAAAAAAATATATAATTACCTTGTCATCCTGAAAATCACAAGTCAGCAAGCAAAAGAAAACAAATGGAGAAAACAACAAACCCTTAGTTCCATAAATAAATTCCATCTTGAGTCCTCATCAAAACAGATAAAAGCTAACTGTGAAAACAACCAAGTTTGTTTCTCCTAAAACTAACTCTGTATGTAAATTACTATCCATGGAACTGGCATGAAGTGGACATTAATATATATTTATGTAATGGCAACTCTTAATTCTCAGGAACAGACTCTTGAAATTCTTTTGAGTTGTTTTGATTTTTCTAATTATGAAGTATTTGTGAGGGTATGAGGAAAATGAACCTCCTGTTAATGTATTATGGTAAAATTCTTATCCTAGGTCTGTGAGGTTAACAGTAACGCCTTGGTAGGAGGTCATTTGTCCGAGTGAAGCCTCCCAGAACACTTGTGGAGGTGGAGCATGTAAACTAGATGTGGCTGGCTGGGCTGGATCATCACCTGGCTCACGGGATATCACTTACCACTTGCCTGCAAAGGAGTTGTGAAATGATGTGTCTCTTGACTAGAAACGGAGTGGGATAAACAGCCCTGGGTTTGAAAGGGCTTAGTCAGTTTCCTGGGCATTTCTCCTAAGAGAAAACAAGCTGATGCTATGTGTAGGCTTGGAGCCTGGAGAGCAGGGACCTTGGTTAGACAGGGCCAGCCCATTAGGCGCTGGAGATAAGCTGTCACATGGAGTATGTGAGCTGGGTAGGTGACAGTGTGAGGTACCAGAGCTATGTGCTCTTGTGAGCTGGATTGTTTTTATACCCCTTGGTTCATTTTTCTTTTTCTTTCTATTGACTTTTACTAAAGTTTCTTGTTAGAATATTAGTTCATCACAGGGAACCAGAGAAAGGAATTCTAATTTTGGACTCTGTTCCAGCTAGCATGCAGAGGGAGGCTTGTTTCTTGAGGCCCAATCCCAGGTGTGAGTTGTCGTTATCAAATACAAATGTTATGTGCCAGGTATGGTATCTTAACCACATGCAGAACTACCATTTCTTTTTTTCTTTTCTTTTCTTTTTTTTAGAATTTGGAGGCTTTCAATCTTCTTTTATTTTTATTTATTTATTTTTGGCTGTGTTGGGTCTTCGTTGCTGCACGTGGGCTTTCTCTAATTGCGGCGAGCAGGAGCTACTCTTCGTTGCGGTGCACGGGCTTCTCATTGCAGTGGCTTCTCTTGTTGCGGAGCTCGGGCTCTAGGTGCGCAGGCTCGGTAGTTGTGGCACATGGGATTAGCTGCTCCGCGGCATGAGGGGTCTTCCTGGACCAGGGCTCGAACCATGTCCCCTTCATTGGCAGGAGGATTCTTAACCACTGCACCACCAGGGAAGCCCCAGAACTACCATTTCTAAGAGAAGTGCTCTCAGATCTTTCAGGCATCCCATTCATTATGTTATAGTCTTTTAAAAATTGAATTATATTGACATACAATATCAGTTTCATTTGTACAACATAGTGATTTGATATTTTTATACATTATGAAACGATCACCAGGATAAATCTAGTTACCATCGGTCACCATACAGAGTTATTACAATATCATTGACTACATTCCCTATGATGTACATTACATCCCTGTGACTTATTTATTTTATAACTGGAAGTTTGTAACTCTGAATCCCTTTTATCTATGTCACCCAACCCTCTAACCCCCTCCCTTCTGGCAAACACTAGTTTGTTCTAGCTATGAGTCTGTTTCTGTTTTGTTTTTTAGATTTCACACATACTAAGTGAAATCATATGGTGTGTGTCATTCTCTGTCTTTTTTTTTTTTTTTTTTCATTCTCTGTCTTATAGTCATTTTTTATGTGGCAGGTCATGCAGCTGGGATACTTGATTGCCCAATTCTTGGTAACACTTTGCTTCATGAACATGGGCAGGGACAAAAACCAGGTTTTAAGATGATTATTCAGATTCCCCCCGATGTCAAATGACTAAAAGGTCCATTTCTCACCAACACATGGCAGTTGGATCTCAAGTTATCTGAGGTCAGGGAAGGCATTCAAAGGGCCATCTATATGCTTCAGCCTGGGTCCCTTCTGTGGAATCACTAAACACAGCCTCTCCTAGCTGGGACAACTCCCACCATTAAACAGAACTTCTTGAAGTGAGCAGAAATCATCTCCATGTCACTTCTACTCACTGATCTCATTTCTAACCTTTTCATGTGTTATCTTTCCTACCTTTAAACAGGCTATTTTCAACAAATAATTTAAAATTGTATTTAATGCCTTCCCACAGCAAGACAACTTATGGATTTTTGTATTTAACAGAATTGTATTTTTGATCAAAATTTATCATGACCAGATTACTAAAAAACGATTAATTTTAAAAGCCCTTTGCTCATGAGTGAGCGGTGAAACTTTGAAGAGCATTTGGGATATCATTGGCTTCTTGTTCACTCCAATTGGTATTTGCAACAGTTTTAAAACAACATTGAGATTTTTCCCCCAAAATGATGATATCCTCAATTAGACTAAAAATGCTCTTAAATGTTTGCTTTGTTATAAAGTGGAGAGAGGGCTTCCCTGGTGGCGCAGTGGTTGAGAGTCCGCCTGCCGATGCAGGGGACACGGGTTCGCGCCCCGGTCCGGGAGGTTCCCGCATGCCGTGGGGCGGCTGGGCCCGTGGGCCATGGCCGCTGAGCCTGCGCGTCCGGAGCCTGTGAGCCGCAACGGGAGAGGCCACAGCAGTGAGAGGCCCGCGTACCGCAAAAATAAATAAATAAATTGGAGGGAATGGGTATGAAGAAAGAGGCCAGTCCCCAAACACCCACCTGAGCCACTTGCTCATGCTTACCTTGGGTTGGATGGCCTCTTTCTGGCTCACCAGTTGAGACCTCAAGATGAGGACTTCCTCCTTGCGGACATCGAGCTCCTCACTCACAGAGGTCAGCTGCTCCATGAGGACACGGTAGGCTGGTGCACCTGGAGCGGTCACCTCAGGGGCACTTTTTTCACTAAGGGCCTTGCGTAACTCATTCAGCTCATTTTTCAGTTTTTTGTTTTCTGATTCTAGTTCTTGACGCTGTGTGAAGAGAAAAAGAACAGTTCATCACTGTCATCCTCAACTTTACACTGGAGTACTCATCCTTCCCTAAGATAGTAGAAGAATTCTGCTGGAAAAGATCACCAGAGCTCCCCTAGTGAATGGCTCCCCTGGTTCTACTGGGAACTCAGCTCTTAAAATTAAGAAAGTCAACGTCAAGTAGAATTGAGCAAGGTGAATGGTAGTTTGCTTCATCAACCTAAATTCCAGAATCAAATTTATTCCAGGCCGCCCAGGGTGTGGTCACAGGCCTGAAGAGAAGGCTGAGTCCTAAGGGGTGAGATTATCTCAGTACTAAGAAGCCCAGGTTTTCTTTATGGGTAAATACAAGCACAAATATGAAGGTCCAAATGGTCAGGTTATTTCCAATGAATTGTTCAGAGAGCAGATCCCTGAAGTGTTGAGTAGTACCCTCTTATTTCTTTTGTAAAGGAGAGGGGAAAGACCGCTGAAATTTTAGGCTTTTAACTTCTAATTTAAAAATTACATAGCATTTAAGCTAATAAAATTCTCTATAGTGTTTCAATAACAACAATAACAACAATATATTTTTGAAACTCCTTTCCTGTGTGACATGCTTGTGAAGCTGCTGGCAGAAGCCTTGAGAAGCAGGAGGAGAGGATGGACGACCTCTTCCTTCAGTCATCTAGATGGACATACACATCCTTTACCATCTCCATACTTTCACATACTACCAGCCATCCTCCCATCACCAGTTAGTGCTGCGCTTTGTAGGCTCTGCTCAACAAATGTCAGTGGAATCCAGAATAGAGATCTGCCGCTAAACTCTATTTACTGACCCTAAAATACAAATGTCACAGGATACTGGTTGGGAAATAGTGAAGCAGACGGGCATTTAAAAGCACCATGCTGATTTATTTAGCACATGACATTAAGGCTTTATGACAGTGGAAGTGAGACACTTCCATACAAAGATAAAATATTTTACCATTTCTTCCAGAGAAGCAATCTTAGGTTTATAGCACCATATTAGACCTTTCAACATGTTATAGTAAGACTAATTAAAGTCCTTTTTTTCCCCTAGTTTAAGAATGTATAACACTTTCTTTCATGAATTAGTCCATTCAAACGTGAAAATGAATGCTCCTTCCTATCCCCAGTCTCCTACCAACTGGTAATCAGATTCGCATTGCTATTTCTGAAAACGTATGAATGTCTTTACTTCGACACCTAAGCTCTGATGCCATGTTTCCCAAACTTTAATGTGCATCAGAATCACCCGGAGGACGGATGGCTTGGTGCCACCCCCACGGTTTCTGATTCAATAGGTTTGGTGTGAGGCCCATAAATTTGCATTTCCATCAAATTACCAGGTCATGTTGATGCAGATGGCCCAGGGACCACATTTCGAGAAACACTGAGCTAATACTTGGGAACTGTCTTTCTCTACAAACATATAGTTTCAGTGGGGTTTGATGGTTAGAGCATGGGGTTTGGAGCTAGAGATACCAATGTTCAAATTACATTCCTGTCGGTTTCTAGTGGGGTCATCTTAGGGAAGTTACTTATACTTCTTAGTGTCAATTGCTTCATCTATAAAATGGGAATTAAAATGCTTACTTGCAGGATTGTTGTTAAAAATTAAGGCTGATGTGTAAAGTGCCTGTATTTTAAAATGATGAAGATAATGACAGCAGCCAACATTTGTTGGGTGCTTATGATGTGCCAGGCACTATTCTAAGCAGTTTACATGAATTACTTCATATAATCCTCACGACAGTCCTATAAGATACATATTATCATTATTCCCGCTTTATAGATGAGAAAACCACACAGGCACAGACAGGAGAATTTGCACACAGTCATACAGTGGCAGATCTAGCATTTGAACCCAGGCAGTGTGTCACCTGGGTCCATGTCCTTTACTACCTTCTACAGTCTCAAATGGCAGCTACTGCTCCTGCTTCTGCTTAGACTGAACTCTAGCTTATATGAAAGAGAATTTAAAAAAGGGAATGACACAGGGCTACAACTAATGCCTGAATAAGCCTTAAGCTAGGGCCTCAGGTACCCTTAAGGATGTTCTCTGAGAGAAAGAAGCTCTGAGCAGGTCTCTCGCCACAAGATATTCAAAGTCTTGGGCTGAAACTTCCCATTACCTTGAGTGACTCGTATTCCAGTTCTGCACCTCTAATCTGTGGTCTTTCTTCTTCCTAGGGAAACACACAAAGTTAAAAACTTTATAAGTAAGTAGTTGTATTTTAATTGTCACATTTTTACTCTTAGAATATTTCCTAGCTCAGCAGAAAAGAGTGAGGAGAGTTAAGCCCTCACTACTTGAACCAAAACCTACTTGGTTAAAGTTAAAGTACTTCTGGGCTGAGTTGCCATTAAAGAAGAAACTGCAGAACTTGGTTTGCCATGGCCCTAGGGTGGGAGAGCACTGCGCACCTTTGCCTTACTTCGGAGCACCTGCTCCTCCTTGCGGTCCAGCTCATCCTGCATCACCTGCTTCTCCTGCTCCAGCTCTGTGACCCGTTTCTGGAGCTTGAGGAACAATGACATGTCCAGAGGCACCTTCTTCTCGCTTGGCTCCTAAACCCCAGAAATCAGAAGATGGTCAAGATGGTTCGGAAGATGTATAAGCCAATGAGAAAATGATGAACAGCTCAACAGAGAAACAGGCAAACTTATAGGAGAAATACAAATGGCCAAAGAATATACAACTAACACATCCAACCAGCTAATAAATGGAGAAATGCGAATTAAACAACAGCGAGGTACCACTTTCCCCCTATCATATTGGCAAAGACTAATAAGATTAATAAGGCCATGTGTTAGTAACAGTGTCTTATAAGATATTGGTGGAAGTTATAAGGAGGCCCTTTGGAAGGGCAAGTTAGCTGTATTTATTAAAATTTAAGTCTGTATATTCTTTAACATAGGACAAACATAGCAATATATGTTTAAGAATTAATCCTGCACAAATACACAAGTACACAAAAATATATGGGGAAAGATGTTCACTGTAATATTTTTTGTAATTGCAAAAACTAAAAAGAACTCAAATGTTGGTCAATAGGAGAGCTGCTTAAATAAATTATGGTATAGCCAAACTATGAAGTATTTTATAGCTGTTAAAAATAATGAAGTAGATCTACCTGAGTAGATAAATATGTTCTAGATAAAAGTATTAAGTGAAATGAACAAGTTGCAGGATAGTATCTCATTTTTCTTAAAAAAACCCAAAACCCAATACACGTGACTTTTAAGTATACCTAGCACATAGCATACAAATATCTAGAAGGCCATCGACGTTATCTTAGAGAATGGGAGGTACTGTGGGAAAGTTTCATTTTCTATTTCACACATTTCTATATTTGAATTGCTTACAATGAGCATGTACTACTTTTGTAATTAGGAAAAACGATTTTTGAAAAGGTGAGATGCTAGCATAAATATATTGAGGTCAGAGAGAAAACTAAAAAACCAAAATATATACAGCCCTAAATAAACTGAAAGATAACCTAGTAGCATTTAAAAGCATGTCAATTGGTTCTAAAACAGAGTCACAGGGAGAACTAGTAGGATAAATAAAGATACACTAATTAAAGCTAAGCAAAAGGAAATAATTAACCCCTAACCACCATCATAGAAATTCTGGAGGCTCCATAATTGTTTTACTTCCTTTACTTTGGGTTTGAATTTTTAATGAGGTAAGAAGAGAAACAATTGTATCATTAGATTTTAAGGAGAGGATAAAGATCCTTTTTGTTAGAGAGAAAGAGAATGGTAACAACTTATTTATTTAATTAAATGATCGAAGTATAGTTCTTAACTGATCAGCAAATCTTATATTTCCAATTGTCAATTTTTTAAAAAATGTTTTTTCCTCATATAAAAACAAAATAAGTTTAGGAAATAAGCAAGGTACAAAGAAGAGAACTGTAAGCATAATCTCATATCCAGAGAAAACCCACAATTTTTGTCCAGTCTTTTTTTTAAATAAATTTAAAGAACTGGAATAATACTTTCATTATACTTTTGTACTGTCTTTAAAACTTAGCATCGTATTATAATCGTTTTCCAAATTTATAATATGATACTTGAAAGCACAATTTTTAATGGCTGTATTGACATGTGTACCATCATTTGCTTAGCTATTACCTTACTGGTGACCACTGGGGTTATTTCTAATTTTTTGCTATTGAAATATACTAAAATAAACAACCTAGTACATAAATATCTAAACATTAATGTTTTTAAGTCTATTAAATTGGTTGAGCCTGTTTATACTTCCATCAGCAGCCACCAACTTGCCTGGAACAGCAATGACTGTTATCATTAAAAAAAATTGGCTCAGCTGGTAGACCAATAGTGTTTTTTCATTATTGTTTTAATTTATATTTCTTTGTCTTTTGATGAGGTTGAATAATGTTTATATTCATGCGCAATCTTTGATTTTTTGTGAATTCTTGGTAGTGCTAAGTTCAGTATTATTCCAGTTCTAAAAAGACACCTAAGAAGAATCAACTAAACTAAGAAGTGGGGCATTTATAGGCTGTCAGGGTCATTTATCTACAAACTAGTTAGACCTGGTCTTTTTCTTTCTGTCCACTTAAAAAAATAATAAATTTATTTATTTATTTTTGACTGTGTTGGGTCTTCGTTGCTGCGTGAGGGCTTTCTCTAGTTGCAGCAAGCAGGGGCTACTCTTTGTTGTGGTGCATGGGCTTCTCATTGTGCTGGCTTCTCTTCTCGTGGAGCACAGGCTCTAGGTGCACAGGCTTCAGTAGTTGTGGCACATGGGCTTAGCAGTTGTGGCTCTCGGGCTCTAGAGTGCAGGCTCAGTAGTTGTGGCATACGGGCTCAGTGGCATGTGGGATCATCCCAGACCAGGGCTCAAACCCGTGTCCCCTGCATTGGCGGGCGGATTCTTAACCACTGCGCCACCAGGGAAGTCCATCTGTCCACTTTTGCACTGCTCAGAGTAACAAAAAGTTTAGGTATATGACCTTCACCATAAAGTCTGTCCTGACTTAGTAGAACAGAGGTAACGTCTTCCCTGAGCACGAAATTACTACAGAATTTCATTCATACAAAAATTCATTTCTATACATCCCACAAATACTTATATTTTAGCTTCTTTATAATGTAAACATTCTATCTTATGTATTTTAATGTTTGTTCCTCTATTAATGGTGTATGTATCCCTGAAAACTTTTAACTATTTAATCCTTTTTTCACACTATGATAGAAACCTTCATTCTATGAATGAATATATTTCATCATTGTACCTAGAGATAGGAACATTTGACAACTGCAAAAATTGAGGCATAATGATTAGTAATTAAGAGAGCTCCAAATGGTGCCCATTCTTATCCCTAATGACACGTATAATCAAAGAGATATTGTCCTCTCTATACCACGTAAGCAAGAAGGAAGTTTGGGCCATCTGGCTCAGGGAAGCATCTGGGGTTTTGTTTTGCTTTCTTTCCTTTGTTAGGACTTTGTCATCTAGGGCTTTTCCAAGAAAGTGAAGCTTTAAAACTAATCTAAAAAATAGCAACAGTCTCTCATTAGAGGAAAATCAGGAAGATAACAGAATTTGTTCACAAAATTACCACGACAGGCCTGGCAGTCATTCTGGAATTACTGCTGACAATAGCTGAGAAAGTTATGGTGACGCTTTCCCTGGATTTGACAGGTATGAGAAAGCTCGACAGCAATAGCAAAACTGAGATAATTAGTTAATGGCTACTAAGAAAGGGGCATTACAGAGCGTGGAGAAGCAATGGTTCCAAAAAAATAACCCCAAACCATGAAGATGCTGGAAGTGTGTGAGGGCTGCAAGGCAAGTAGAGCTGGCAGGTGAGTTCTTCAGAGAGAAACAGCAATGGAGGTGTCATTGTGTCTTGTGAACAACCAATCACAGGTTTCTGATTTGTAACTAGAGAGACATTAATCTTTTATTTTTACATCAAATTTTGCTATTATTACACGACGAAGGTCGGAATTCTGTGTTTCAAAACAATTTATCTGTTTTAATTTTTTAAAAATCAATTCATAAACAAGAGTGATCCCATTATTTTCCTGGCACTGGATTCTAAAAGAGCTACTTGGGAATATTGCACATAGGAGTTGAAAGTTTTCCTTTAGTTTGAAAGGGGCAATTTGTAAACCTGGCCATCACAGAGGTAGTTGCAGGAAGAAATGCAAACCTGCAAGTCCTAAGTAATTCGAAGTACAAAGTTACGTCCTGCACAATTTCCCTTCTGATAATCAATCTCTCTTTTTCTATTACTAGTTGTGTAGATGTCCATCTTTCTGATCCTGGCCACACCCAGTCAGAATTGTAGGGTGGTCACTGGAAGCCTGTTTATTAGAGCAAAAACCTCTGTTTATTGAACACTTACTATGTATCAACACTGCTACAAGTGTTTTATAAAAATTAACTCATTTAATCTTCAAAATATCACTATAAAGTAAGATAATAATAGCATTGCCACTTCACAGATGAGGAAACTGAAACACAGACAGATTGAGGCTAAGGTTATGGACTCAGTCCCAAGGAGGAGAGTTACTGTAGTCTGTCCCATGGTAAAGACAGCACTAACCAAAGCCAGCCACATCTCAGATGCATGCACTTAGTCACAAGCAACAAGCATGACTAGTTCAGTCAACAGTCTTCCTCACTATTAAGAGAAGACTTCCAGTGTATGACCTACTGTTGGTGGTCAGATGCACGTGACACACACTAACAATAATCCAAGATCTGTAGGTGATTTCTGGAGCACAATTCACACTTCATTATTCAAAAAAGATGAAAAATGTACCAAATCCCACTCTAATCTATCTCTTAACTTGAGAAAAGACTTGACAGAAAACAAGTGAGAATAGAAATGAAAAGGTTACCCCTCCCCTCAAATCTGTAAGAATTTGGAGAAAACTTGAAAAGAATAGAGACCCTGACAAAAACTGTTACTAGTAAAAATTAGGTAAAGCGTATGAGAGTTTTGAGTTTAAAAATGTAATGCCCACTACTGGGCATATACCCAGAGAAAACCATAATTCAAAAAGACACATGCACCCCAATGTTCACTGCAGCACTATTTACAATAGCCAGGTTATGGAATCAACCTAAATGCCCATCTACAGACAAATGGATAAAGAAGACAAAGGGTACATATACACAATGGAATATTACTCAGCCATAAAAAGGAATGAAATCAGGTCATTTATAGAGATGTGGATGGACCTAGAGACTGTCATACAGAGTGAAGTAAGTCAGAGAAAAACAAATAATGTATACTAACGTATATATGCAGAATCTAGAAAAATGGTACAGATGAACCAGTTTGCAAGGCAGAAATAGAGACACAAATGTAGAGAACAAACATATGGACACCAAGACCAAGGGGGGAAAGCGGGTGGGGGGGAGCGGGGGATGAATTGGGAGATTGGGATTGACATGTATACACTAATATGTATAAAATGGATAACTAATAAGAACCTGCTGTATAAAAAAATAAATAAAATTCAAAAATTCAAGAAAAAAAAAAAAACCCCAAAGAACTGTGAGCAATAATGAATTGCTGTAGTTTGAAACCACTAAAGTCAGGGATGTTTTGTTGCACAACAATAGATAAGTTGAACAACCTCTGTCCTGCTATATACAGGCCATACTGCTGTATCAATGTCCCCAGCCTAATGTTATCTGTAGACAAAAATGGGACTGGAGAACCGCAGTGTAGAACCCCTGAGTGCAAGGAGGTAGAGTGTGGAGCTCTGAACAGACAGGCCTCAGTTAGAATACTGGCTCTGCCACTTACAAGTTGTGATCCTGGGCCAGCAACTTAGCCCTCTCCTATGTATGAGTTCAACTATATGACGCTTTTCTTTAAAAGGAACAGAATGAGATGGAGAAACTTTTCATCCCAAGTGGAACTAAGGCAAGAAAGGAAAGAATTATTCAATTTTTTTCAGCTGTTCTGCTTTATAATATTCTAGGACAGAGGGCTTACCTTTCAAATAATTTACCTCAGTCTGGAATAAATTCATGACAGGTTATGTTTTTTGCACAAAGAACATGTTAAGGTGTAAAAGGGAATTACAGAAGGGAAAATCTGATCCTCAAAATTACATTAAAAATGAAAATTAAAATGTTTATTGACAAAAAAATATATGCAATAAGTATATATGTACACAGCTAATTAAGCACCTTTAAGTCACTTATGAAGAATAAACAGCATAAAACAAATGTTATGTTTATGGACAAATGGGGTCCTCCCTGCAAAGAAAATGTTCTCTGTTAGTAACAGCATGGGCACATTTTACTTTTACTGATAGGTGTCTAAAATGTACCTCTGTCCTTGATGGAATGTCTTCAGTTTCTGCAATTTCAGAGCTAAAGGTGTATTCGGACTCATTGCTGCTGTGGGTGGAGTCTGTTCTCTTGTGTCCAGGCTTAGGCACATTCTGCAAGACAAATAAGCAGTTATAGTTAACACAACATAATTAAATAATTGAACTAGGCATAGTTAAGACAGCATCCACCTTAACTCGGTTCTATCCTCACTCACTGACTTAAAGTTCTCATGCCCAAACGATCTGTTCCATGTTGTATTAACAAACTCTTACAAAAGGGTCACCTTCGGAGCTCCTCAAAGAATGAGAAAGATGCACCAGGAGGGCATGATAAGCACAGTCACAAAACCAAATACTCAAACAAAAATCATCTGTGATTGCTGGCGGAGTCGGCTTTTTAAAGTTGTGAGTGGCTAGTCGCACTGGGTGAAGCATAGGTATGATGCCTCAGCATCTAAGGACTGTAACTGACTTCCATGTTGCAATCAAATAAAACGAACCAAAAAGTTCATAGGATATATTTAATGATAGCATAATCATTTTACTGCACTGTATTTGGGCATAAATGGTAAAAAAAAAAAAAAGGGGGGGGGGGGGGTTTCCACTTAGGCAACTACAATTTCTATTAGTTTTATGCCTGAAGCTGAATCTCTGGAGTCAGCAGTGGGAAGGATGAATGTGCAGAAGAGGCAAGTAAGCTGCTCGAAGAATCCTGGGAAGATCCTTGGGTTATTAACTCAGGGAGTCCAGGTGACACTTTTATGGCATGTGGTACCTATGAACTAGTGTTCAGAAAGCTTGTGGGGAACAGAAAAGTTAAGCAATTGTAGTCCCTTCCTTTCTGTAGGAAAAGGGGTTAGAGAATGACTTGAAGGAAGAAGAGATAAAAAGGCTGGGTTTGGGCCCCTCACTCCTAGGGTGCCCCCAACAGAAGACATGGAAAGGTTCAGTGGCCTGGATTTTCTGGGGTTACAAATCCTGAGAGCTTCAGAAAGGCCTCCAAGAGCTTTGGGATCTGTCCAATTTCCTTTACTCCTTCCCAGGTGCAGGAAAAGAGCCAGAAGCCACAAAGAGCTGTTTGCCTCTTTCCTTCCAACATCCAGGCTCATAGAGAGCAGACCCATCTGTGCAACCACAGGGAAGCCAGCCCCCAGGGGCAGTTGAAAGCCCCTCAGCCCAGCCCAACCTGTATGTTCTATGTTCATTAGTGTAATTTTCTTTTTTTGTGTGTGTGATATCTTTGTCTGGTTTTGGTATCAGTGTGATGCTGGCCTCACAGAATGAGTTGGGAAACTGTTCCCTCTTCAATTTTTTGAATAGTTTGAGAAGCATAGGTGTTAACTCTTCTTTAAATGTTTTTTGTTGGGAGTTTTTGACTGCTGATTCAAGTTCATTTCTGATATTTGATCTGTTCATATTTTCTATTTCTTCCTGATTCAGTATTGGGATATTGTATGTTTCCAGGAATTTGTCCATTTCTTCGAGGTTGTTCATTTTATTGGCATGTAATTGTTTGTAGTAATCTCTTATGATACTGTGTATTTCTGTGGTGTTGCCTGTAACGGCTCCTCTTGCATTTCTGATTTTATTTATTTGGGCTCTCTTTTTGTCTTGATGAGTGTGGCTAACAGTTTATCAATTTTGCTTATTTTTTTCAAAAGACCAGCTCTTAGTTTTGTTCATCTTTTTTTATTTATTTATTTTTTATTTTATTTTATTTATTTATTTATTTTTTTGCGGTACGCAGGCCTCTCACTGTTGTGGCCCCTCCCGTTGCGGAGCACAGGCTCCGGACGCTCAGGCTCAGCGGCCATGGCTCACAGGCCCAGCCGCTCCACCACATGTGGGATCTTCCCGGACCGGGGCACGAACCTGTGTCCCCTGCATCGGCAGGCAGACTCCCAACCACTGCGCCACCAGGGAAGCCCAGTTTTGTTCATCTTTTAAACTGATTTTTAGTCTCTATTTCATTTCCACTCTGATCTTTTTTTTTTCTCCTTCCTCTAATGTTGGGCTTTGTTTGTACTTTTTCTAGTTCCTTTAGGTGTAAGGTTAGATTGTTTATTTGAGATTTTTCTTGTTACCTGAGGTAGCATGTATCGCTATTAAACTTCCCTCTTAGAACTGTTTTTGCTGAAGTCCATAGATTTTAATCATTTTGTTTCCACTTTCATTTGTCTCTGGCTATTTTAAAAATTTCTTCTTTGGTTTCTTCAGTGACCTATTTGTTGTTTAGTAGTGTTTTGCTTAGCCTCCATGTGTTTGCTTTTTCAAGTATTTTTTCTTGTAGTTGATTTCTAGTCTCATAGTGTTGCAGTGGAAAAAGATGCTTGATATGATTTCAATCTTCTGGATGATCTGTCCTTTGATATAAGTGGGGTGTTAAAGTCCCCTACTATTATTGTGTCACTGTCAATCTCTTCCTTTATGTTTGTTAATATTTGCTGTATGTATTCAGGTGCTCCTATGTTGGGTGAACATATGTTTACAACTGTTTTATTTTCTTGTTGGACTGATCCCTTTGTCATTATGTAATGTCCTTTTTTGTCTCTTGCTATAGTGTTTGTCTTAAAGTCTATTTTGTCTGACAACTGCTACCCCAGCTGCCTTTCCATTTCCATGGAATACATTTTTCCATCCCCTCACTCTCAGTCTGTGTGTCTTTAGAACTGAAGTCTCTCACAGGGGTGTGTGTGTGTGTGTGTGTGTGTGTGTGTGTATGTGTCCTGTTTCTATTATCCATTCTGCCACTCTGTGTCTTTCGATTAGAGCACTTAGCCCATTTACATAGAAAGTAATTATTGATAGGTATGTACTTACTGCCATTTTGTTTTCTGGTTGTTGTAGTTCTTTTTTGTTCCTTTCTTCTTTTGCTTTCTTCCCTTGTGATTTGATGACTTTCTTTAGTGTTATATTTGGATTACTTTCTTTTTGTGTGTGTGTGTTTATCTATAATATGTTTGTGGTTACAATGAGGTTCATAAAAACAACAATAAATGAGATTCAATCACACATATATACATATACATACACATACAAATATATTTAATTATTTAAATATGATGATCTCAAGTTCAAACACATTATAAGAACCATGCATTCTCAGTCCCCTCCCCACGACTAGTGCTCTTGTCATCATATTTTACATCTTTTTGTTTTGTGTATCCCTTAACTACATACTGTGGATATAGGTTACTTTACTACTTTTTTGTCTTTTAGCCTTCCTACTAGATTTATATGTGATTGATCTACTACCAATACTGTATGTTTACCTTTATCAGTGAGAGTTTCCCTTTCTAGTTGTGGCCTTTTCTCTCCTGCCTAGAGAAGTCCTTTTAACATTTCTTGTTAAAAGTTTTAGTGGTCCTGAATTCTTTAGCTTTTGCTTGTTTTATCTTTTTATCTTCCCTTCAAATTGGAATGATAGCTTTGCTGGGTAGAGTATTCTTGGTTGTAGGTTTTTTCCTTTTATCACTTTGAATATATCATGCCACTCCCTTCCGGTCTGCAAAGTTTCTGCTGAAAAGTCAGCTTACGGTCTCAAGGAAATTCTTTCTATGTAATTAGTTGCTTTTCTCTTGCTGCTTTTAAGATTCTCTCTTTATCTTTAATTTTTACCATTTAAATTATAATGTGTCTTGGTGTTGACCTCTTTGGGTTGACCTTGTTTGGGACTCTCTGTGCTTCCTGAACCTGGATGTCTGTTTTCTTTCCCAGGTTAGCGAAGTTTTCAGTTATTATTTCTTCAAATAAGTTCTCTGCCCCTTTCTCTCTCTTCCCCTTCTGAGACCCCTATGAGAATGTTATTATGCTTGATGTTGTCCCAGAGGCCTCTCTCAAACTATCCTCATTTTTTAAAATTCTTTTTTCTCTTAGCTGTTCTGAATTGTTGATTTCTACTACTCTGTCTTGCCATTCACCAATCCATTCCTCTGTATCATCTAACCTACTGTTGATTCCTTCTAGTGTATTTTTTTTTGCGGTACGCGGGCCTCTCACTGTTGTGGCCTCTCCCGTGTGGCGGAGCACAGGATCCGGACGCGCAGGCCCAGCGGCCATGGCTCACAGACCCAGTCACTCCGCGGCATGTGGGATCTTCCCGGACCGGGGCACGAACCCGTGTCCCCTACATCAGCAGGCGGACTCTCAACCACTGCGCCACCAGGGAAGCCCCTTTCTAGTGTATTTTTAAATTTCAGTTATTGTATTCCTTAACTCTGTTTGGTTCTTCTTTATATTTTCTCTTTGTTAAACTTATCACCATGTTCATTCATTCTTTTCCCCGAGTGCACTGAACACCTTTATGATCATTACCTTGAACTCTTTATTGGGTAGATTGCTTATCTCCACTTCGTTTAGTTCTTCTTCTGGGGTTTTGCCTTGTTCCTTTGTTTGGAATATATTCCTCTATCTACTCATGTTGCTTATTGTTTTTGTTTATTTCTATGCATTAGGTAGGTTGTTTAGGATTCCCAATCTTGGAGAAGTGGCCTTATGAAGGAGACATCCTATGGGCCCCAGCAGCCTATCCTTTTAGTCACAAGATCTATATGCTCTATGGGTGCCCCTATGTGAGCTGCATGGGCCCTTCTGCTGTGGTGGGGATCACTACTTGGATGCACTGGTACATTGGGATGGCCCTTGGTCTGGTTGGCTTCCAGGTCCTACCTAGTGCAATAACTGCCAGCCGGCTGGTGGGTGGGTTTGGGTTCTGGTGTGGCAGGCTGCATAGCCTGGGGTGTGTCCCAAGGCTGGTCCCAGGTTACTGATGGATGGGTCAGTGACCAGCATGGCTGGATGGGGGGCTCATGGGGCTGGTGCCAGCTCACTTGTGAGCAGGTAAACCTCTGGCCCTAATAGGCTAGAGGGAGGACTCCAAAATGAAACTTGTCTGCAGCAGTGTCCTCATGGTTGGAGCTCCCCAAAATGCCTGCAGCCAATGTCTATGTCCCCAGGGGGAGCTCCAGTGGCCTCATGCCCTCTGGAAGGCTCTCCAAGGTTAGCAAGTGGGTCTGAACCAGGCTCCTTTCAAATGATTGCTTCTGCACTGGGTCTTGGACATGTGAGATTTTGTATATGCCCTTTAAGAGTGGAGTCTCTGTTTCCCACAGCCCTGTGGCTCTCTTGTACACAAGCCCCACTGCCTTCAAGTCCAGATGCCAGGGGACTTGTTTTCCTGGTGCAGGAACCCCAGGCTGGGGAGCCCAATGTGGGGCTCAGACCCCTTGTGCCTTGGGGAGAACCTCTGCAATTGTGTTTATCTTCCTGTTTGTGGGTCATTTACGTGGGGTGTGGGTCTTGACTATACTGTGTCTCCACCCCTCCTACCCATCTTGTTGAGGTTCCCTTTTATATCTTTAGTTTCATAAAGCAGTTTCTGCTAGTCTTCAGGTCATTCTTATATACAGCTGCTCTGTAAATAGTTATAATCTTGGCGTTCCTGTGGGAGGAGGTGAGCTCAGGGTCTTCCTACTCTGCCGTCTTGGCCACTCCCCTCCAAATTACCTTGTGTTTTATAACAGATATTTCAGAGCATTTCTGGCCATCTGTGCCATTAGGTTACGTTTAAGGCCGATAGCTGTAGGAACAAGATTGCTAGGGAGCTCTTTGTTTCCTGATAGCAGGATAAGTAGAACAGGGAGGGTGTGCAGAACTATTAAAAGTTCAAAATGTACTTTGGCAGATGCAGAAGAGTCCTTGAAATAGATAAGACAATTTATTACAAATAGAGGCTGAATTTTCTTTTTCTAGGACTATATCTTTGAAACTACAAAAACTATACAATACTTGATTATATAAATATTTGCTTTATAAGCAAATTTTATTTTAAGTCATTCAATACATAAAACAAAGTCCACCTACACTGACTTTATACTATCTTATAATCCAGTCTTCAAAGTGTTTGACTTTACAAAATATTTATGAATAAAGTGATATGATTTCTGGGATGTGCTTTAAAACAACCCAATCCATTGGATGGAGTGGGATGGAGGGTAGAATGGGGGATAGAAATGTGTTGACCATTTTGGATTGAGTGATGGGCACATGGAGTACAGGGGCGTTCATTCTACTTTTCTATCTACTTTTGCATATGTTTCAATTTTTTTTTTTTTTTTTTTCGGTACACAGGCCTCTCACTGTTGTGGCCTCTCCCGTTGCAGAGCACAGGCTCAGCGGCCATGGCTCACGGGCCCAGCCGCTCCACGGCATGTGGGATCTTCCCAGACCGGGGCACAAACCCATGTCCCCTGCATCGGCAGGCGGACTCTCAACCACTGCGCCACCAGGGAAGCCCTCAAATCTTTATATATAAAAAAAATCAAAAGTATTTGACTCACAACCATCAAAGTCATCTCTTCCTTGAGGTCATCATATCGTTCTTCCAAGCGACTGAACTCATTCAGAAGGTTCTGATATCTCAGCCTTTCATCATTAAGATCGAGTTCCAGTTGTTTTGTTTCTTCTATTAACTTCTTTTCCATAGTCTCTGAAAGAAAGGAGAGGGAAAAGCATACCAAAGATGGCTCCACAGAATGCAAGAATACAAACATGGACACTGACTTCCAGTTTCTTTGGGAGGGGTTCTACTTTTAGCACCACTATGATCTATGAAGAGTATCTTAGTGGAGGTAGGGAAAGAGACAACAACCATCATCTATTGCATTGTTCCATGAACAGAACTAGTTCATTCATTGGTTACAGCACATCCTTCATAAGCTTCCACTAGCCATCATCTAGTAACTAGAGTATACATTTTTTTATTATTTTGTTTCAGGCTATTCATAAAATTCTTTTGTCCCAAAGGTCAGAGACATTCCTCAAGCCTCTGGGGGAACGGCAACTTCTCAGCGGACCCAGCTGTACTGCTCTACAGAGTGTCTCCACTCATCTCAGTCCCCAGGTTCTGTCTTACAATTTCCCAATGCTGTGAGCTCCCTTGTTGTCCTATTACTCCCTCGATTCTAATCAGGTAAGATCCCCACACCTGGTCCTCTGTTGTTACCACTCCTATGTGCTGCTGGGGGACCTGACCTTTCCATTTACTCACCTCACTCTACTCTCTCTGTTGCCAGGGGCTGGCACTTAGATAGGACATCATCTGGAGATCGGAGATTAGCCCTTGATTGCAGATCAAGCACAGTAAAAAAGCCTTAAATCTCAGCTGTATGTTTTATCTCAATGAGCTGACCCAGTCACATTTATAAACATTAAGCTTCCTACCACTATGGCCCATTTTACCCTCATATTTTGCGGCTCTATCTTATAATCTGCCCTGCCTGCTTCTATTGCTTCACCATTTCTTTCTCCATCAGCTCCATGAGGGCAAGGGCTGCCAAGTGTCTTGTCACAACTGCCTCCCTGGTGTCCAATACAGTGTTTCCCTACCCTAGGGCTTTAATAATTTGTAAATAAATGAATGAAAGAATTTCTTCTCTCTATAACATTCTGTAAATTGCTTTTTATTCCCACAAGTTTGTGGAAGCTGCCCAAGGCTACCAACAAATTTTCCTGAGGCAAATCTACTGTTATTGTCTTTGTTCTTATCTTTCAGTATCAAATAACATTTTCTATTTTCCTACAAGAATTCTCATCATTCTGGATTTTTCCACTGCATTCTGCATCCTAGCCTCCTTTTTTCCATGTCTTCAATGACTTTCCTCCTTCCCTCTTAATTTTCTTTTCTGGCTCCTTTTCTTCACCTTATCCCTTATTTATGGTTATCCTGTAAGGCTTAATTCCAGATTTTCTTCACTTTTCTATATAGTATTCCCTTTAATTGGGAGGAATGGGGCAGTATGGGGAAAACCACAGAGGGCTCTCTCTTTCATCTCAATTCGTTTTCACATCATCTTTATCTGGAGGCCCCAGCTGACATCCAAATTTTAATACTCAAACAACTGACCTTGTTAATTTGCCTCATAAACAGAGACTTGTTCCCCTCAATTTCCTCATTACTAATAACACATTATTGTTTTGATAACTCATCTCAAAACTTTAGAAAAATTTCAGAAACTTTAGAAAATTTTTACTTTTTTGAATACCACATCAAAAATGATGATATATGATATACAATTCTTTTCATATAATATATTTTCACTCTAATCAAATCTCTTCCTTTCTATTTCTATCACCAATTACTGTAGTTTAGATATACACTTTCTTAGCTCATGTTTATGTACATGTGGATTCCTTGTAAATTATCACCATTTTAATTTATCTTACAAACAGCAAATAAATGTCCACATCTAGGGTCTTTTATTTTTAAGGTGGCAAAAAGTGGTTGATCTTAGGAAAATAATATCCATTGGTTTATCAAAATAAATAATATATACAGATACATATATACATATACATATTAGCTCAAGAATTGGTCCTAAAACAACAGGACTCCTATAAGCCATAAATCATACATATAGAACAATTTTTTTAAAAGTCACATGATACTGACTAATATGAAATGATATTTGTACATAGGGAGACCAGATTTACAAGTTCACCAACTAATTCAACCAAATATTTAGAGTGCCTGCCTCCAGAACTCTGCAAATTTACTGATGACAGTCTAAGCAAAGTTGTAACTTATAAACCTTTGGTCTGAGGTTGGTTGGAGTGCAGTAGGCTGGGCCCACATGAGGCTTACCTGTCATCTCCTTAGCCTGCTCCACAATAAGGTGATTGAGGGCCTCTTTTTCCTGCTTCAGCAAAGTATTTTCTTCCTTCAGATTTGATACCAACTATAAAATAAAACAATAAACTGAGATGGCTGCCACAGACAGAGGCAGCCGGATACTGAATACAAAGACCATACATACAGCAGTCACCGGTAGTCACTCCTTACTTCCACATCTCACTGCCTCACTTCTTTGCCGAGTTATATCTGGTCATCCTTCAAACTTGTTTCTAGCATTATCCTCCAGAAAGCTTTCCCAGAAACTCCCTCCAATTATATGTCTCTCCTTTGGGCTACTATAGGACCCTGAATATGCCTCTTTATAGCCCTTATAAATGATTTACTTTTATTTCCCTGATTGACTAGAAATTCTTGGAGGACAAAAATGATTTGCTGTTATTGTTTTACTTTGTACCTTGAGCATTTAGCAATTGCCTGGCGCTTGAAGCAATGATAATGCCTTTTCACACCAACAGCCTAACGCAACGTTTACGCGTACCCATGATTCAAGCAGAGAGATTACAGAGGTTAAGAAAAATATGAAAGGCATTTTGGTTTTGGAAATTCACTGAACACCTTCCGAAGCTCCCTGCTCTCTGTCTTGAGAAAGAGAATTCATTTTCATCTCAAGAGTTTTGCAAGGTTGTAAACTTTTATTCCACATTTAAGCATTGACCTTACAACACTGTGAATACACTTAATGCCACAGAACTGTACACTTAAAACCATTAAAATGGTAAATTTTATGTTACATATAAGCATATTTTACCACAATAAAAAAATATTGACCTTTAACTTTCTATTTCCTGGTTGGATAAGGATTCTCAGGAAGCAAAAATCAAAACCAAAGGAAACTTTGCTAAGTTCATAATTTATACAGTTCACCTTTGGAATAGAATGTGTGCTTGTTATAAGTGAAATTTGAATTCCTTTCTCTAAGCATAAGTTCAAGAGACTCTTAAAGCAACAGCTTTACTAATAAAGAGAAAGTTTAGGAGTTCAGAGACAGAGAAAGCGGGCTCTCTGACTAAGGATCCCTGAAGAACAGGGAACTGAGATTACAGCACTGTGCCACTGCACAAGTCAGGCCAGAAGGTGTTCCTTCTGATGGCCCAGTGTCTTCCCTCTGTGCTGATAAGGTCTTAACGTCTGCTCTCAGTAGAAAGGCTGAGTTCTCTATGTGCTCTTGAGAGAGGCTGCTCTTTGTCAGGGTATGCAACCAATCACCTGTGGTGCTTTTTCAAAATACATGTGCCTGGCCCACACTCCCAGAGCTTGGGCAGGTATCTTTTTAAAAACTCTCCAGCATATTCTGAAATACACTCCTGGTTAAGAACCACAGTTCTACTGGACCTTCTAGGCTCCTTGGTCAGGCTAACTGGCAATGTAGCTTTCCTGACCACAAAGCTAGCTCTCACAGGGAAATTTTTTCATTCTTCCTCATTACCACACTCCATCTAAAAGAATTAATGGTAGTGCCTATAGCTATCCTTGTGAAGGCAGCAGATAACAAAACGAAAGGAAAAATCTGAATATGTTCAGGTATACTATTCTATCAGACTGGAAAGGTATGAATTTGACTTTGAAAAGGAAATGAGAATACTCCTACCAAGCTTAATTCTCTATAGTTTCAGAAGAATTTGGAAAGCTTCCAGGGACTCAGGAAATGGGGAAAGAAAGAGAGAGAGAGCACAAGAAAGAGAGATCTTAAACCTCAACAGTATCCCATTGGATACATATTTGAATTCTGATAGAACAAGCTTGCTATGTCAAAGTAACATATTAATAGCACTGCTGTTTCCAGATCAGAGCCCAGATCTGCTACAGATACAGAAGGGATTATTTTATCAGGACCCTGAATACCATGGAAGGATTGCAACTTTATTAGCTACACTATCCTACCTGAATTGTGTCTAAGCTCCTTCGAGGTTCTTACTGTATAAGCTGCTGTTAAGGTTCAGAAGTCAGTAAGGAAAAAGCATATTGGGATTCTTGCCATAGTTACAGCCATCAATCAACTCTGTTTTCATTTGAAGATGGTAATACTAGTGGAATCTCTGAAAACCTATTACTTTTTCCCAGTAAGCCTTATGTTGAGGTATTTTTACCTTGTTTAACCAATACATCTCATTACTGCTTGAGAACCTTAGTGTTTTCTGTATTTAATAAAGTTTTGATATAAGTTAATACAAATTTGTAGTGTGGAAGCACTGGTCAATCTGTAAGCATTTTTGTTGTTGTTCTATCTGCATAGCAGCTCTCGGCTACGATCAGTGTGCAGACATTTGGATTTTTTCCTGTTGGACTTCTCAAAACAGTCTTAATGCAGGTTTCCACAAAGATCCCTACTATCAGCTACTGACAGTTCATTGTGATTTACTTCTTAATCACCTTTAACCTGCTGAAGAAAAAAGAGTCTACACTCCACACAGATCTATTCATTCAAAGAAAAAGGGTGTATAGTAGGTTCTTGGACATCACTTCTCTTCTTATAACACTGCTTTGCCTCTGTTCTTAGGAGAGTAAAAGGTTTTACTAAAAGACCTATAGGTACTCATCCAGCATATGGAACAGCTGCTTGGGGGAAACACTAATAATGAACAGTAAACCAACTGAAATGTGTGTTTACCTTCGATTGAAACCAATATTGAGCCACAAGGGCCAGGTCAAGATGACAGCACAGCTCCTTTGTGGAAGGAGTAGATGGGGATATGAACATTAGCTCCTACCTGCTCAGTTTCTTGTTTGTATCTATCAGCACATTCTTCAATGGATTTTTTCTCACACTGAGTTTGTTCCAGGTCTTTCCGGAGCTTGGCAATTTCTTCCTGCAGACTGAGGACACGTCCAGTCGCAACCTTAGCTTCTTCCTCACTTAGCTGAAGACGTTCTAAGTCACTACGTAGTTTCTCGGTCTCAGAGTTGTATATTCCTTCCAGATTGGTCAGTTTCTCCATGAGGCATTTGTAGTCTTTGTTCTTTAAACACACACATAAGTGACAAAAAGTAAATATACACACCACAAATGTATTAAGTGAGAAAACCATGCCTATTCATCATATTCATGCTATATCATCATAGTGCTGATATAGTATCTAACCAAAATTACTACTGACAATATTTAAAATAACACCATCAGCACCCTCTTAGTGATACAAAGAGAGAATGGGCACAATTATTTCTGTTTTACATGATGAGCAACATAGATGTGATTTTCTCATATTCACAAGGTGAGTTCCCACAGTAAATTCTCTTTCTTGATTCTTAATCCAGGAATAGGAAAATCTATACTTGCTTTTGAAAACAAATCAGTGTGCTACTGAAAGCCATGTGCCAGCTAGTGACGCATAAGAATGATAAAATGGCCTCAAAATCACAAGTTTCTTACAAATCCCTTTGCTTACCGTCTGGAAACTCCTCTTCCCCCTCAGAAAACCTTTCTGATGAATCCTATTTCATTCTCTTTTCTGTTTTTCTTTGTCATCCTTAGTATTTATGTATTACTAACTACCTTTATATCATTTGCATGTGCTAAAACATTACTTGGTAACTATCTCTAAGAAATCAAACTTTTATCTTTGCAAACAGACTGCAAATTTCTCAGAAGCATGGACATTTTCCTGCTTCTTTTGCCATCTCAATGGTAAACAACTCATCTGTAAAAGGAACAATACACTATACACAAATGAATGATAATGATGAAAGAGCTTTGTAAAATACAAAGTACAATATGACTCTCGGTCCTAACTGTTTGGAGTGCTAGTAAACCTGTCTGTGTTCTTGAAAATAATTTCCTGCCTTGGTCCTTGCAATTATAATCTTACCTATGAGCTTGTCACTATTTCCACATTCATTAATGCCATTATTATTTTACTTTTTTTGCAAAGACTAAAAGGTAAAGTCAAGAGGAGACAATGCTGAAGACGACCCCAGTGGATTCTGTTAGGCGTGCTGCACTTTCAGGACTCCTGTTTAAAACACACCTGTTCGTCAACTTTGCGCTGCAGCTGCATGATCTTGTTCTCCATGCCAATGTGGAGCTTCTTATAGCGCTCCACGGAGCGGGCCTCTATCTTGAGCTTCTTCAGCTCGCGCTTGGCCATCATCCGCCGGAAGCAGCACTGAAGGTAGATGATGGCGTGCATACTCCTCTTGTAGTAGGTGCGAGCCAGCCAGCCCCGGACCCACTTCTGAATGATGACTGCTTTGTGCTCACGGAGTATCTGCAGAAGAGGGTAAGTGCAAGTAACGTCAGACCCTGGACTAGACTAAATATTCAACTCTATCAACCTATGGATGTCAGGCTGAGAACCCACACATTACCTAAAGGGAAAGACATAAAAGTTGAAGCAACAATGTATTATGTGAATTGTATTTATCACAAATATATGGAAGCACAAAATTATTTTCAAAGGTGATTGAAACATAGTCTTTCAAAGGCAATTTGAGGGCTTCCCTGGTGGCACAGTGGCTAAGAATCCGCCTGCCAATGAGGGGGACACAGGTTTGATTTCTGATCTGGGAAGATCCCACATGCTGCAGACCAACTAAGCCTGCGGGCCACAAATACTGAAGCGCGTGCGCCTAGAGCCCGTGCTCTGCAACAAGAGAAGCCACCGCAATGAGAAGTTGGCGCACCGCAACAGAGTAGCCCCCGCTCGCCGCAACTAGAGAAAGCCTGCATGCAGCAACGAAGACCCAACACAGCCAAAAATAAACACATAAAATAAAAATAAATTTTTAAAAAACTCAACTCATTTTATAAAAAAAGAGGAAATTTGAGAGACATATATAAAAATACGTATTATATCCACATGTCATATGTATGATTACATGTATACGTATGATGATAAATGGAGTATACAGATAGAAGCTGTCTAAATAAAAGGTACCAGATTACTAAATAGAAAATTAGTCTACAAAGAAAGAAAAAATGCATTAGGTTTCTTATTGCTATATGATTTCTATTAGCAACAGGTGATCCTTTAGAAAATAAGAAGAACTTGGTACCCTGTGAACTACGTGCTAGTAAAATAAGAGATTTACCCACTACCCTTACTGCTGATACCATGTCCCTGTGCATTAGGTCTCTGCTTGAGGACATGGGGTATGGCCAGTAAGCAGGCTATAGAAGACGACACTTGGGGTACTGCAAAGTTTATTATTGATTTATTGATATTTTTCCCCAGCAACAAAAAAATGACACTCTTGTTTGTCATATTTGAGGAATACCATTCTAGTGAGGATTTCCCATTGCTATTATAAATGCAGCACAAATCCATTTATGGGATTCAAAGGTAGTAGGGAGAGAACTTTAAAAGGAAAGCTAAAAAGATAAAGTGAAGTAAACAAATCTTAATTTTATATTGTATTTTCTTAAAAAAACAAAGATATTGCCCTAAACTTATAAACAACTTATAACAATAAGATTGCCTTGCATTTCCCTGGTGGCACAGTGGCTAAGAATCCGCCTGCCAATGAGGGGGACACGGGTTTGATTTCTGGTCTGGGAAGATCCCACATACCGTGGAGCATCTAAGCCTGTGTGCCACAACTACTGAGCCTGTGCTCTAGAGCCCTCAGGCCACAACTACTGAGCCCGCGTGCCACAACTACTGAAGCCTGTGTGCTCTAAAGCCCACGTGCTGCAAGTACTGAGCCCGCGTGCCACAACTACTGAAGCCCACTTGCCTAGAGCCCATGCACCACAACGAAGAGTAGCTCCCACTTGCCGCAACTAGAGAAAGCCCTCAGGCAGCAACAAAGACCCAATGTAGCCAAAAAAATAATAATAAAAATAAATTTTTAAAAATAAGATTGCCTTATGAGATGAATTTCTTGTCACTAATGACCATCAAGCAGAGATTGTGTAAACAGTTTCCAGGAATGATGGGGAAGAAGTTCTTAAATTTTAAGAACGGTTGAACTAGCAAAACTTTGATGTCCTTTCAAGTCTACGATATTACAAAATAAGTCTTGTGTGATATAAATGTTTAAATGTATGCACTTAAGTACTTATTAGTGATTATTATAAATGGATACAATGTATCTTTTATGAAACTTTTTAAATGTAAAAAAATCTCTGAAACCATCTATTCAGATAGGTAGCAGTTTAGTAAGATCATTTAAAGAACAGTTCCTATTTTTAGGTTATGTAGCTGAGAAAAACAATGAAAAACATATGCCATCCTAGAGCATACAATTAAGAAATAAGTGGTTGTGTTTAAAGCCAACAAATACTAAATAAACATAGGTGTTTAGGAGACCTTCATAAGTACCTTCAGCCAACTCAAGGCTGTCCCTTTGGGATGTTTTCCTAATGCTAAGGCAGCCTTCAGTTCCCACTAAGTGCAGTCACCGTGCATCATGCCACAGTGAGGCAGGGCATCCTGAGTTCTCACTCAACAACACAATCCCAAGGGAGCCTCCTGTCTTATCTGGATGACTAGTGACAAACTGGATAAGACTCAGTGATGGCAAATTGAAGGCTTTCAGACTTTAAAACTCAAGCAGCACACAGTGGCAAAGGTATTAATGCCAATATGCCTGTTCCATTTCCTTCTCCCCATGTAACTTCAGATACTGGTCCATTTCTCTAATTTTAGTCAAATGGAAACAGTATATAATTAGAGCTTCCATTCTCAATCTCATTTCCATCGGTGAGTCAGAGACATTAAATAACACTTGCTCTCACTTTAAGACCCCCAAAGCTTGGGGGAAGCTTGGATTGGAATCACAGCTAGAAGGATCACTAAGGGGGTACTACTGGCCTACACATGAGCCTGTCTCTAACCTGCCTCCCCTACTATGTCCAGTCACACTGGGAGCTAAGCTAGCTAGAGACTGCTACTGCTAAACCAAAGGCCTCACACGCCAGTTCAGAAGTTCCTGAGGAGAGTAGTGAGGAAAACAGGAGGGTAACTGGTTTGGTATATCTAAAAGGTCAAGTTTAATAAAGCTTTTCCCTCCCTTCAAAGCTCATGCTTGAAGAGAAAGAACATCTGACTATAAAGCAGGCATGCGCAGAAAGACCTGGAGTAGCTAAGTCTTCAAATTTTCTTCAAAACACAGCTATTAAATATGCTCATTCAAGCCTCATTAGCGTTCCATTTTTCTTTGTTATACAAAATTAATTCAAAATAAGAAAATAAAATAAATACATGAATAGGGCCTAGGGCACGCCCACATAATCACTGCCTGTGATTAGAGAAATGTCCTTCACATCACTCTACTGACACTCCTAACAGTGATGCCCAGAGAGCTCCAAGATCCAGACTGTATTTCGGGCTTATCAGGGCTATATTCTAAAGAACAGACTCAAAACCTTGCCGAAATGAAAGAGGAAAAATTTTCATCAACTAGATCATATATTGTTAGAGGTGATGACTAAGACTAATCTGGTGATCCACTATCTATAGCCATGATGATTATTGCTAGACATAAAGATTATTTGTCAAAAATTTCTAGAGCATCATACTCCAGTCAATACAACTCTGTCCACACTGATGTTATATTTGATTTCATTTTTACCATGGTAAATTGTTCCAAGGTTGTTTCATTCTTAATCTGTTCATCTGCCATATATTGGGTTGGCCAAAAAGTTCATTCGGGTTTTCTGTAAGATGTTACAGAAAAACCCGAATGAACTTTTTGGCCACTCCAATATTTTTACCTATTCAAAGCTCACCATAGTCAGCTGAATAAAGGCCCCCAATACTAAGAATCTGTAAATATTACCTTACTTGGGAAAAGGGCCTTTGCAGATATGATTAAGATAAGGATCTCGAGATGGAGAGATTATCCTGGATTATCTGGGTGGCCCCTAAATCCATCACAAGTGTTCTCATAAGAGACAGAAAAAAGAAGTGAAGTTAGACACAGAGAGAAGATGATGTGAAGATGGAATCAGAGATTGGAGTGATATGGCCACAATTATTAGGAACACTGGTGGCCACCAGCACTAGAAAAGGCAGGGAATGGGTTCTCCCCCATAGCTTCTGGAGGGAGGGCAGCCCTGCTGACACCTTAATTTCACAGTTCTTGCCTCCAGAACTGTGAGAAAATAAACTTCTGTTGTTTTAAGCTACCAAGTTGGTGGTAATTTATGACAGCAGCCACAGGAAACTAATATACTCACTTCTTTTTCAAATTACAGACAGGGGAAGAAAAAAGTAAATTTTCTTTTTCAACATCATGTTAATAAATATATGTGGCTTATTTAATATTTTAAAAGGTATTTCAATTGTTGGTTGTCTCCATATGACTCCTACATCCATAGGAGCCCCTGTGGCACTTTGTACAGACGTGGAATTTGACTAACGTTAACGGAATGAATAAACAAAGTTGAAAACAAGGCCTCACCTTGCGATACCTATTTCTGGCCAAGTAGCCTCGAAGGTAAGACTGAAGGACGATCGTGGCAGTCCGCCTGATCTTGTACCTCCGGCGGATTACGTACATGCGCCAGTACTTCTGAATGATGGTTGCTGCCTTGGTTCTGCGCAGGAACTTAGCATAACTGGCCAGAGAAAGAGTGGTGCGTACTCAGTAATCAGAAAAACTCAGGAATACATTTTGTAGAGGCTGAAAGCACCAGTATCTTTGGCAGAATAAGTAGTACCTCCATTGTATTATTCTAATAACATACACGTTAAATCAACATTTATATTTCTTATATTTGTATAGTTATTTAATGATCCCCCAAATATCTGTACATCCATTATCTCATTTGAGACTTACCTAACCCTGAAAAGTGGGATGTCCCATATTACTTGATTTTACAATACAAAAAGTGAAGGTCATAAAGGTTTATTCCTTCTAGGACTGTGCTCATTACCCCAGGTTATGTCCCCTTTACATAGCAGACGAGCTTACACAGTAATCCTGTACTTACTTATCACTCAGCTTTGTTAGCTCTATCCATTGCTAATGCATGATGTTTTTCCTTAACCTATCCATTTGGGCACAAGTTCTTTACCATTAATTCATGTCTTTTGATATCTCTAAATTAAAATTATCCTAATATGTAATCACACGTAAGTGTAACTAACTCTCTTCTACACCTTCTCAGCTAACTGCTCCCCCAAACTCCTCAACAGAGTCATTATTAACTAGTTATATTTATGACTGTTGTAATTTACAGATGACTTCTTCAAGCCCATATAAATGTATAAAAAATAAATACTGAGGATATGAGTAGGCAGTAATTTGTAATTATTTTTTTGAGGTTCAATCTGAATCATTCATAAAGGTGAGTGAAATTTTATTCTATTTAACTGTCTTATGAGTTAGTTCCTTGGACCTAAGGTGCTGCCTTCTCAGGTAGGGTGACCACTCAAAACTGTCCTAGTTTGGACAATCAATCAGATGAGCTTGCCAATCTTCGCTGCCCGTGAGCCAGAGTGGACATGCCGCCAGGAGACCTACCATCGGGCCTGGTGGCCTCGCACGTATCTCTGCACAGTGACGGCAGCCTTGCGCATGCGCAGGAACTTCTTCCGCAGCAGCCACCCTCGGATCGTCTTCTGGATCCGGATGCACGCAGCCCTCAACTTGTCTGCCCTCAATTTTTCCAGATAGGCCACTTGACCGGCACGGAAAAAGATCTTTGTCTTCCCAAACTGGTATTTGTCCTTGTCCTATTTTTGGAAGAAACTGTATACTAAGAAGTAGAAATGATGACTAGATAAATGAATTTTAAAGAGAAAATATATGCCTAAAAGCAGAATCAGTAAAGGGACAAAACTATTAGCTAAAACGTGGGCTACATCACAATTAACTAATGGAGCCAGCTTTTTGATCCTATGCAAGTTGAGCAAATAGAAGGGACTTTAAGGAAAACTGCAGTGTAAGAGTTATTTTCCAGAATTATTCTACCTGGAATTATTATCTGAGGCCCAAAACTTGGTTGTGGGTTATAGGCAGCTACTATTTGCTTGTTTGTATTTTAAATATCTCAAGGAAATGGAGATGCTGACACTCCCTCTGACTGACCCAGGCTGTAAGAATTGCATCGGGCTGTGTGTTCCATGAGAAAGCTGAAGGGATAAAAACACCAATATGAAGAAAAAGGCAGGAAGTAATGCACACACAATAAAAACTAAAAGATAAAACATCTTGCATATTCATGTTAAGAGTTAAGTTTCTCAACAGTTATCTCCTGGTTTTATCAACAGTAAATCTTCCTACAAAAATATTATATTATACAAAAATATAATCATTTATAATGCTCATTGGCTTCTGATTATAAACAAAGCTGAGCAGTAAACACAGATATATATGCATGCTATTTTTGGTCTATTATATTCTGATCCAACTTATCTAGAAGTATGCAAGTTATTAACCATCTTATATCAAAAGAAGAGTAGAATTTATTTATAATAATACTGTGATCTGAAATTCTACGTGAAAACAGAGAAAATCACTTTTCACTGTAAGCAAATATTTCCTATCTTGTACATGAAAACAGAAAATCAGAAATCTCCACATATATCTAAAACTGTTTCAGTTTAAATCAATAAAGTTTGCAAAGGAGGCTAGCTGGAAGAGCTAGAAAGTGGTTCCCTCTCCCTGCCCCATTTCATCTCAGCTCTCCCTCCCTCGCCCCCAAGCCTGCACTCCTTTTCCTTGTGGCCCCAAGCCCAGTGGGGAGCAGTCTGGGGGAGGAGGCTGTCCCTACTTTCTGCTCTCCATTCCCTAGAAAGGACTTAAGCCAGATTCAAAATGTATCAGATTCTTTTACACAATACCAGGAAAGTGGCCTAAGTGCTTTCAAAGAAAAATAAAGTTATTATCACCAAAGAAGAGATATTACATCTAGTTAATAGCTAATAATTATGACTAATTACTTCAAAGTGAGGTAATCCATCCAACCTAGTGTCAAGTAAGTGAAAATATTCTTTAAACAGCATCTCATGAGTCTTAAATTCTCTACAACCTACATCAGTGGTTATCAAAATGTAGTCCTCAAACCAGCACCGGCATCACCTGGGAACTTGTTAGAAATGCACATTATTGGACACGTCCCAGACCTACCAAATCAGATGTTCTAGGGGTGGGGCCCAGCAATCTGTAGTTTAACAAGCCCTGAAGGTGACTCTGATGCATTCTAAAGTCTGCGAAAGCCTTAGCTTGGTATGCAAGTCTCTTCAAACACCAACCCACATTTCCTAACCAATTCCCTACTGTCCCATGCACCACTTTTTTTTTAACTGCAAAAGCAAAAACAAAAATCCGACTCTAACTGCTTTTTGAGAAAACTATGCTTTTCTGCTCCTTGCTCCCTATTAGGATAGGCTCCTTCCACTTTATACAATCTTACCCACTCTTCAGGGCCTGACTCAAAATTCATGTCTTCCATGAAATAGTTCCTCCTTCCCACAGCAGATGTGGCTTTGTCTTCCGTTGATTTCTTGTCTCACTCACTCAGCATTTGACAGACACTAAGGTATATTACACTTATCTTTAAAATGGATTAATTTCCAAGACACACTATGTCACCCGAGGACAAGACTTATTTTTCTTAATCACATCTGACACAGCACCTGACCTGGTGTCTGTCATAAGTAATTTTCAATAAAAATTTAGTATTTGGGGGCTTCCCTGGCGGCGCAGTGGTTGAGAGTCCACTTGCCGATGCAGGGGACACGGGTTCATGCCCCGGTCCGGGAAGATCCCACATGCCGTGGAGTGGCTGGGCCTGTGAGCCATGGCTGCTGAGCCTGCGTGTCCGGAGCCTGTGCTCCGCAACAGGAGAGGCCACAACAATGAGAGGCCCGCGTACCACAAAAATTTGAGAAAACTATGCTTTTCTGCTCCTTGCTCCCTATTAGGATAGGCTCCTTCCACTTTATACAATCTTACCCACTCTTCAGGGCCTGACTCAAAATTCATGTCTTCCATGAAATAGTTCCTCCTTCCCACAGCAGATGTGGCTTTGTCTTCCGTTGATTTCTTGTCTCACTCACTCAGCATTTGACAGACACTAAGGTATATTACACTTATCTTTAAAATGGATTAATTTCCAAGACACACTATGTCACCCGAGGACAAGACTTATTTTTCTTAATCACATCTGACACAGCACCTGACCTGGTGTCTGTCATAAGTAATTTTCAATAAAAATTTAGTATTTGGGGGCTTCCCTGGCGGCGCAGTGGTTGAGAGTCCACTTGCCGATGCAGGGGACACGGGTTCATGCCCCGGTCCGGGAAGATCCCACATGCCGTGGAGTGGCTGGGCCTGTGAGCCATGGCTGCTGAGCCTGCGTGTCCGGAGCCTGTGCTCCGCAACAGGAGAGGCCACAACAATGAGAGGCCCGCGTACCACCAAAAAAAAAAAAAAAAAAAAAAATTTAGTACTTGGTAAATTTTTATTGAAAATGATCAAACTCTAAAAAGAATGTGTCTCAAGTCTAGGTCCAGCCTTCACCATCCTGTTTCTTGATACTGGACCATCATCTTTACTAGTTCTTCCATCGTAAAGACAAGGAGCCTTGACCTCCAAGACAGTGTGCCTCTCTCCACCCTTCCGCCCCTGAATAACCCAGATTAGTGGTATATGGATATTCCCAGGACATTCACAGGTTACAATCACAAGGCCTTTGGCAAACATCTGTTCCAATAAAGGTAAGTGAAAAATCTTTCTTACCAGTATCAGTTTCTCTAAAACATTCTTGCATGTTTGTTTTCTCTCACTTAGCACATCTTTTTGCTTCATTAGGACACGGTAGCGGCTGAAAAATTCTTGGTAAGTCCACCTATAAAAAGAAACTCATGTCAGCTTATTTAAAGAAGCAGGAACCTCCCCCTTTAGGATCTCTTATATTTGAAAAATGTCAAGCCCACCGAGAGGGGAAACCTGCTGCGCTGATTCGGATGGTTTCCAGGACACCGCACGCTCTCAGCTGCTGTACTGCCCTCTTCTCATCAAACCTATGTGTAAAAACGGAAATCACTAACACACAAAGAAGCATGGCTCTAGCCACAAACTACTTTCCTCAGTCCAGAGACTGAATTCTTTTGTAAAGAGCCAAATGGATAAATTAGAAAAAAAAATTCAAAAGTTGGAACAGTGATCAAAATGGAAAACTCCATGTAAGAGAGGGGAAGAGACCATTAGCAGTAAACATACATACCACAAACTTATAAGAAATGCCATTAAACATATTTAAAAAGCCCAAACTCCTCTGCACTGTGCCATGCTCATTACATGCCTTGGCCTGACTAGCTGTTCTCATAACTCTTTAGTTCACCATGCAGAGCTCCCCTGGAATAAAGACTGGCCAGCCCTGGAGATTTCTCTAACAAGAAGAACAAATTAAATATGCTCCATTCAGGTATTTTAAAAAAATTATTGGTGTTCTAAAAGCTATTCAGGGCTTCCCTGGTGGCGCAGTGGTTGAGAGTCCGCCTGCCGATGCAGAGGACACGGGTTCGTGCTCCGGTCTGGGAAGATCCCACATGTCACGGAGCGGCTGGGCCCATGAGCCATGGCCGCTGAGCCTGTGCTCCGCAACGGGAGAGGCCACAACAGTGAGAGGCCTGCGTACCGCAAAAAAAATAATAATAAAAAAAAAATAAAAGCTATTCAACTCAGTGTATACATACTAAGCATTAACAGTGTCCATGTCAGTGAAAAATATTTTATATTCTATCTTATATGTATTTCACTCTAGATAAACGGCACCTTAATGTTAAATTGACACTACAAGAAGAAGTAGCAAGGCCTGCTTCTTATGGGATGATGATTCCTCTTACTCCCCAGTTAAGCCCTGAGTGACCTATCCGAGGCTTCTGCTGTGCTATCTTCTCAAGTGTTTTATTCGTGATGGGAGATGCAGTTGGCTGACAGAAGGTAATGGCCCCTAGGGCTGTCCAGGAAAGTCACCCAGGGCATGGCAGCTTCTTCCAGCTTCTCACTTCCTCCAGAAAGGGCTTCTTGGCAACGAGAAGAATACGACAGTCTTTGAGAAGTGCCCTGCAGTCTAAGGCCGACTCTCCAAGGGCAAGACTGGCATGGGTGTAGGTAAAGGAGCACGCACACACTGCAGAGTGGGAGTTATTACAGCCTTTGATAAGTGTGCCTAATCTCTGACCCACAAATTCCACTTCTAGAAATACATTATTCCAAGGAGATAATTGGGCAAATATACAAAAATGTTTGGCAAAAGATGTTTATCATAGCCATAGGAATAACCCAAATGGCCATCAATAAGGAATAATTTAAAAGAATGGTGGTATGTGTATATAATGGGATATGACGTAGCCATTAAAATGATGATGTGGATTTGTATTTACTAACACGGAAAACACCCATAAGTTGAAAGCAGATACAAAACAACAATTACAGCATGATCCCTTCCATTTTATTAATCTCTCTCTCTCTCTCTTTCTCTTTCTCTCTCTCTCTCTCTCTCTCTCTCACACACACACACACACACACACACACACACACACACACACACACACACACACACATAGCAGGGAAGGAATGATCAAGAAGGATCTATGCCAGTTAATACTTATTATCTCTCTGGGTATAATGAAATGCTCTTTCATTTATTTTTACACTACTTTATATTTCCTTAAAATTGTTTTTATAATGTGCATGCATTACTTTCAAAATCAGAGAAATATTTCCGTTTTGGTAAAAACTTCCTCTCACGAATGGTATTTGACACAGGACAAGATGTTTGGTAAAAGTAGACATTCTCTGATAGTTTCAACAGTTGAAAAGTAGCAGGGATGATTGTGAGCCTTTGCCAAAGCAACCTTATCTCACCCAGCTCTGGTTTTAACTAAAGCCCAAATTAACCAAAAAGATCTTGAAATGAAGTAAATTACAAATAGAAAATAGTACTAGAAATGTGTGGTTGATCTCAACTTTTAAAATCATCAGAAGGCCAACTACTAATTTGTTCTCACATTTTTTTTTTTTTGGCCACGTTGTGAGGCTTTGTGGGATCTTAGTTCCCTGATCCGACCAAGGATGGAACCCGGGTCCCTGGCAGTTGGAAGCGTGGAGTCCTAACCACTGGACCACCAGGGAACTCCCTGTTTTCACGTTCTTAAAAGGGAACCAAAACTGAAAAAGTTCTATTAACTAGTTGTTTCCCTCTACAAGACGTGAAGATTTACCTAAGTATTTTTTCCCTGCTGCTGGTTTGGCAATCCTTAGGAGATATGAATACTTTAAATTCAGCAGTTGAGAAATACTTACGTGAATGGGAACTTGAAGTCGTTAGGCTTAATACAGCGCACGTAGTGAGGGGTAGTGGCATTCAGGGTCTCCATAAGCAGGTGAAGGGAGTTTCGGAACTGCATGAAAAAGAGCAGAAAGGGGCACCAAGGTTTTGTCAAAGTCAAAGATGACATGAAACAACTGAAAATTTTCTTCAAATGACACTAGTGGAGATGACTTTGCCACCTGTGAACCTGACCAGCCCTCAACAGTGGAGCTGCTAGGGTTTTTGGTTCAAATTTGCTTAAACCCTACCATTTACATGCTCACTCTGCTAAACAGATATTCTCGCTCCTCCCATCACCACCACTGCCCGCCCCTCTTTAAAACAGACTATTTTCTTAGAGCAGTTTGAGGTTCACAGCAAAATCAAACAGAAGGTACAGAGATGTCCCGCATACCCCCTACCCTGGCACAGGCATGGCCTCCTCCATTATCTACATTCCCCACCAGAGTGGTACATGCGTTACAGTTGATGAACCTACTTAGACACTTCATTATCACACATCATTATCATCATTACATTAGAGTTCATTCTTCCACCCATCCTTTTAATATAGATTTCTGTAGCTTTCTGTTGTACACTTAAAACTTTGACTAAAAATATAAGCTTGCTTTAAAGATATTAAGGTCATTTAATCATGTACAGTAGGAATTTTGCTGTATGATACTGAAAAAAGTAGCAGATGACTTAAAAGAGTATAGGAAATGGGGGGGGCAGAGGATGGAAGAGTACAGCCAGGGTGGGGTTACCTTTAGGGACATGGGATCAGACTGGGGGCTGTGGACCTGTGCCAGGCCCTGCTTCCTATCTGCTCAGGAAAACAAGCTGACTAGCACTCAGCCTCCTGCCCAAAGCCCCCAGCCCTAGTTCAGGCACTAAGCACGTGTGTCATGTTTTCCAGTCCCCATGGTGCATAAAACATCAAAGAACGCAGAGGGCATGGTTCCTGGGCCGAAGGAGCTGTACAAATCCAGAGAGGAAGCAGCCAGAGAACAAAACAAAGGCAGCAGTGGTTTGTGAGGGAGGACATGTACTAGAAGAATTAAAATGTAGAGAAAATTATTTTGGGAAACGCTTAAGCAGAGTTACGGGTCTATGTTAGGAGGGGAGAAGTATGAGTGGACAGTGTTCTGTGTTCTCACAGTGAAAGCTCCAGCCTCTCCTCACCTGAGGACCCCACCTGGGAGGCTGACAAAGGAAGACCTGAGGCTCCAGCTGAGCCAGAGGGGAAGTAGCACTGCAGCAGCGGCTCCCTGAACTCACCTGGTGCCCCACCGTTTTCTTGTGCTCTTTGGCCGCCTGGCCTGGTCTGCCTTTGCTGGGCTTTGCAGGAGTGCGGGTAAGGAGCGTGCGCCCTGAAGAGGTGGCTGAGCTTGGACTGATGGCCTTCTCATCATCTTGAAATAATTCTGGTAGCATCTTAAACTGAGTCAAAAACAGTAAAAGGAAATCACACTCTAAACCCAAACTCAATTGGAAATCTTCACAGAAACACTATAATGATTTGCAATCCATAGTGATTCCCTTCCTTAAGTAACCCCTTTCAGAGTCACATTCCAGAAATAATCCGTATCTGTGTTAGGAGCCAAAAATATGAGAGGGAGGTGACATCAATACTACAAAAATATAGATGGAAAAATGCAGTAATTCTACAACCTTATTTGGGGGAAAACAAAATCAAAACTACTCCACTGAGACTTGAAATCTTAATCCACAGGAAATGGCCGCTCTAACCATTTTACTGGTTTTAAACAATAATTATTTTATGAGCAAAATACTAATTGAAAGTCTTATTACATCAGTTCCACCAAATGTTTTATCACCATGCTTCATCTGTCTACCCAGTAACTCAAATGGTGAGTGTACCAACTAAAAAATATCACTGAAAATCTCATCAGGAAGGGTGTCATGAACTAGTTCTACAATTTAATAAGATTTTTAAAATCATGAATTAACAGTACTTTTTAGAAAGTAATGTGGATTATTGGGGGAAAAAAGTACAAGGAAACCCTGCCCGTATCCTGTAAGCTTTGCATGACTGCATAACTCCTGCAATCAATTTTGTGTTCCACCAGGTTAACGAAATGAAAGGCTATTAAAAGATCCGGTAGTTAATAAATGGGTGGATAGTATAAGTTAATGTGGTTAGAAGACATTTTATAGAACAAAAGAGACTTCAAACTAATCGGCAGTAACATTTTGATATATGTACATATATTTACAATAGTGAAACAGTCCACATACATAAAATAAATCCTTCTTATAAGTCAAAGTGTAACTGCAGCAGCCAATTATTTATCTAATAAACTTAGAATATCTCCAGAAGAAAATTTTCTTAAGAGAGTTCTTTCATTTAAAAACAAAATTAATTTCATTTGGTATAATGTATCTATCAATTATAAGGGTAATTTAGGATATAATTCATGATATATATAACAAATTGTTATACATGACATACCAATAATGGTTGCTGGCTGCACAAATGAATGTATCCCTTGCTTTACGGAATACATATAGCTTGGTTAGCTACAAAGCAGGGCAGGGGGTGGGGGTAGGGGTACGTTTTACCATTATCTTGTATCACAAAGGGGAAAAATAAGAGTTCCTAATAGATTTGATTTGAAAACTCAGCACAGAGTTAAGATGTAAGGCTATTCGATAATAGGCCAAGGACTCTAGGATCTATCGACACACTTCCGTCATTTCCAAGTAAATCGCTAGCTCTACATTAGTGCTGCCTACCTAAACTTTGTTTTTCTCTCTTCTGTGTGAAATGGTTAATAGAGCTGGGTTGAAATATCATATTCACCACTAGTGTTACAATTTAACTGAAGTTCTACAATATCTACCAGAAAACTACTCAGGGTTGAGAGTTCAGAACACATACACACATATAGATGCATATATATGTCTTCCTCTTCATACAAGTTATAAATTTAAAATTCTCTACATTGAGTTTTCATTTAAAAAAAAAAAGAGAACATTTCACATTGTCATATTAGAAGCTACTCTACAATTTCTTCTTTAGGCAGTATTCCTGCTTCCTCATGGGCCATTTTTCTCAGACTTCTTTCCTGGTTCTTCCTCAGGCCAGTCTCTAGGAGTTGGAATGCCTTACTCTCTACTACTTTTCACCTACTTGTTCTCCCTAAGCAATCTTATCCAGTCCTATTGCTTTAAATGCCATCTAGTTCTAAAGACTACCAAATTTATATCACTGACTCTGACTTTGCCTTTGACCTGCTGACTTTCATTTACAACTTGTCCACTTGACTATCTAATTGCCATCTCAGGCAAAACATGTCCAAGATAAAACTCTTTTTTTTTTAAATTGAAGCATAGCTGACCCACAATGTCGTGCTAATTTCCACTGAACGGCAAAGCGACTCAGTTATACATTCTTTTTTTCATATTCTTTTCCATTATGGTTTATCAAAGGATACTGAATATAGTTCCCTGTGCTATACAGAGCGAGACCCCGTTGTCTATCCATTCTATGTATAGTAGCTTACAGCTGCTAACCCCAACCTCCCACTCCATCCCTCCCCCAACCCCCTCCCCCTTGGCAGTCATAAGTCTGTTCTCCGCATCCATGAGTCCAAGACAGAACTCTTGATTCCTTCTCTTGAAGCCTGATCTTTTACAAGTCTTCACCTCAGTAAGTGGCACCATTATCCATCCAGCATCTCAGGCCCAAAACATAGAAGTCATCTTCAATTTCTCTCCTTCTCTCACTCTCCATACTCAAACCATCAACAAGACCAGTCAACTCTACCCACAAATCATAAGCCATTTCCACTGCTATAATTTCAGTATCTCAGTCCACTATCTGTCCCCTAGATTACTACCCCCCCTATCCCCAGCCCCCTCACCATATCTCCACACAGTAGCATATCATTCCCCATATGAAAACTGTTCAGGCATTCCACAGGAACAGGAATAAAATCCATACTCTTTACCGCACTTCCCTCCAGAAAGTGGCCCCTGTCTACCCATCCTACACATCCTACTCACCTACCATGCTCCAGTCATACTGGCCTTCTTTATGGACCTCAAACACAACCATCTTATACAGTCTCAGCACTCCTCACTTGCTCTTCCACTGACACAGTTGTCTCCTATTATTCAGGGTACAGCCCAAATGTCACATCCTCAGAGAGGCCTTTCCTGACCACTGTGGCTAGTGGAGCACCTCACCTCTGCCCAAGCTTAGTCACTCTCTAGCTTGGTACCCTGTTTTACTTTCTTTATAGCACTTACCACTTTATGATATGATATCATCTAAATATTTGGTTAAGTGGTTATTACCTAAATCCTCTGCCTATCTCATTTACCTGTTTACCTTGCTAAATTCCCAATTTTCTTAAATCATTCATTGAAAAATTTAGCCATTCCCCACTGACTGAGGAGGCCAACTTCATCTGAAGACAGAAAGGCAGATAAACAGAAAGTCAAATATGTAAGTAGGTAGATATGTCTGGACATTCCATCTTGTTTCTTTGATCTGTCTATGCTTAAGACAGGGCTCTGAATTGCTTCAGACTGAACTTATATGTCTAGGAAAGAGTGTTAAAGAAGACAGAAGAATCCAAGTAACTGCTTCATAAAGATGTGGGAAATCATCTCAGTAACAACAACAACAACATTATTCACTAAGAGCTTTTTATACATGAAGCACTGCTCTAAGAGCTTAATACAATGTATTGAATCTTCATAACAACCTCTGAAAGTAGATACTATCATGATTCTATTTTACAGATGAGAGATTTGAGGCACAAACTCAGTAGATGAACTGTGCTTCCCTTCATCAATTAGCAACATGGAAAGTAGGGGATATAACTCTTTTTAATGGCATTTAGTAGAGTTGCAATTTAGTAGTATTTCATTGAGCTGCAATTTACTTATGTGCTTCTTGTTATTTGATGTAGCAACAGATTTCTTTATGGTGGGAAAACATAAATTAAGACACCTTCTGTTAAGTTTTTTTATACCTTAATTCCTTTTAAAGTGGCTAGAAGCTGCAAAATAAAAGAAAAAAAAAAAAAGACAAAACACATACACACAAACAGAATCCCACACTGCATTACCACAAAAATAATTCTGTTGAAAACACATAACACAAATACTGATTTTCTAAAATTAGTACTTCCAAGGGGACAAATCAACACTAGGTTACACTTGCTTCCTATCAGGTGCAGAAAAATTAAAACATAAAGTTCATACCCTTGGGTTGGGTTTCTGCTGACTGGGAGCACGGTAGGCCTTTAAGCTATGTAAACCTCACACCACCTCCACCCAACTGCAACAGTGCTATATAGACTGGCAGTCACTCCAAATGATTCCTCAGAATGCATAGCTACTTTCTGAAATTAAGGAGCCACGAGCCAGTCAGAAAAGTTAGGTCAGAAAAAAGACACAAAAGATTATGGGTGCCTGGGGAATGAGAACCTGTGAATGTTCTGTGTCAGCTAAATTATTTAGAGTAGTAACACTAGAATTCCAGGGTTTTCATCAGTATTCATAAACTAAAATGATTTATAATCTTTAACTGAATAATAATTAGGGATTGGCACTGTGAGAGAATTTTCTCTTATACATCATTCTTATAAGGTATAAAGTGTTAATATCCAGGGCTTAAGAGGATAAGTGAAAAAATGATTTTTTTCTACAGACACTTAAGACTATAGACTCATTATTTTCTGAGGGTTAAAACTGGAATTTGGTCCTTACATGATCTTTCTATTATCAAAATAATTCAAAGTTTTTATTCCAAAAACAAGAGTCAAAATGTTCATATAGGGGCTTCCCGGGTGGCGCAGTGGTTGAGAGTCCGCCTGCCAATGCAGGGGACACGGGTTCATGCCCCGGTCCGGGAAGATCCCACATGCTGCGGAGCGGCTAGGCCTGTGAGCCATGGCTGCTGGGCCTGTGCATCCGGAGCCTGTGCTCCGCAACTGGGAGGCCCGCGTACCGCAAAAAAGTTCATATAAGATTTCATTGAAGTTAAAAGGATTTTCTTAGAAAAACAAAAAGTGCTGGTCAGAAATCCAGAAGAATTCACATGAATAGTTTTAGTCTTTCACTGAACATCTGAATATTTACTTTGTTAAATGTAAGTAACCAGCTTTCTGGTTTGCTCCCTACAGGATGAAAGTGAGCCATGCTCCCCTCCCCATACTTTCCTGAAGAGAGTCAAAGGGTGGAGGTTGGGATTAACCTCAGAGAGCCATCATAGTTCTTTGCAATCTGGAATATTCTGCTCCCACTAGAAAGCAGTGTTTCTGGTATCTATACCTAAGAAGAATAATTTCAAAGTGCTTTGGACCACGCCTGAAATTGCACTCAATGATCCAGAGGTCAATCTTTATTTGGATGGAATGCTTAAGGCCATGTCTCTAGCGTATCCCTTCAAAATGACACAGCCAAAAACAACAACAACAACAAAACGTTTTCTCTCATGGTCTCTCACAAAGGCACAAGAGAGCCTAGAACTGCTGTGGAGGCAAAAATTTCACATAAAACACCACCGCATAGTGGTTAAGAGTGCAGACTCTGAGCTCAACAGCCTGGGTTTTATCAAAAATTTGGCTTGAAAACTTACTAGCTATGAAGATTCTGTGCCTCAGTTCCCTCATCTGTAAAATGGGAATAATGATAATATCACCTCATCATAGGATTAGGTGGGTTAACACTTGTAAGGCATTTAAAACAGGACCTGACACATGTACTGATAAATAGAAAACTAACAGTAAAGCTGATTTTGTTAGAACAATTATTATTACTGTTAAAAAGCTAATGCTTAAATAAGAAACATTTTAATGAATATATCCTGATTGGAGAAAGCCTATACATGGTTACCTTGCTTGATTTAAGAACTTTAATTTGTTCTTCAAAAACAGTGTCTTTATTCTTTTCCAGAAAGCCTTCACACTGGTATTCCACCTGAAAACACACGGGAAAATCTCCTTAGCTAATCAAACTTTTGAATAGATATGATTGTCATCAACAACAAAAATATTTATTAGGTTCAGGCTATGTGATGGGCTCTCAGTGAAGTGTTATCATTAGTTTTATTCTAAGAAACTAGTACCATTCTTAGTAAGAAGCATGTTAACTCTAGAGTAAAACTCGCCAAATATTGTTTTTCCTAGGGAAGAGTGGCAGTGCTGATTAACTGTGATCTAAGATCATCCCAGTACATGGGTAAGCAGACTCATAAGAAGCTGTTCTCATCTCTCATGCAGGCCAAAGAGAGCTCCTCCAAGGCTGACCCACTGTACTTCCTTCAAACCTCGCTCACCATCCCGCAGGGCTAAGTCTCCTCTGGGAGAGAAGAGATGAAAGCGGGAGAGAGGGTCAGAAGGAACAAATGGCTGTCTGGCAGAAAGATGAAGTGGCGACGATGGATGTAGATGGAGGCTGGGTAAACACTGTATGATCCGGTAAGTAGAACTACATGAGAATGGACTCTCCCTGCTTCTAGAAGACTTCAGCCAACTACCACTCAGGGTCCCCAGCCTGTACCACAAAGCCATTAGGCAGCCCTGAAGCCATTCCAAGGTCTCCAGCTAGGAGCAGGACAGACTCGGAAAACCCTCCTAAAGGGTTCCTAAAGGAGACCATGGGGAGCTTACCAGAAGGCTACCCCACAACCTCCTGGAAATATAAACTAGTGTCATAGCTCCAGATTTTCTGAGTAGACTACAGAACCTGTGAAGCAGCAAGTCTGCATGCCTCATTAGTAGGGACCCACTGAATCAATCACAGAGGGTGACACATGTCCACAGTTTCTATTCTGAAACCGTTGGGTTTCAGAACCCAGAATCTTTTAGCAGAATCTGAGGCAGCAATCTGTAATCAAACATATTAACATTTCTACATTGAAATATATAAATATCCAGCCTAACTGGGATAAATAAAGACTATAAATAACCTCATGTTAGTTCAGGTCAAAAATCAGGCTTAGCCACTAAATGAATTATGAAAAGACATGGATTTCAGAGTTTCTTGGATTTCAGAATTATATAGATAGAGGACTGTAAACATGTATTTATTTCTTAATATAATTCCATTTAGGTTAAAGAAAGAAAAAAACCAATAAGCCAACACTTAAGCTTTCTTTTCCTAAACGGAGCTAAAGAATGCAAGCTCAGCAAAGAAAAAAATGCTATCTATTGACTATTGATTTTTTTTCCTCTTTGAACTTAAGTATTCAAAAAGAAAAGAGATAATAAAACTTCCTTACTTTGTCAGCAAAATGCTGGATGATGAAAGCTTTGTTTGATAGACGGGGCTTCTCAAAGAGTGCACATTTGTTCAAATGTGTGTTGTACAATTTTTGGGCCCAAGTGTCATCTGTGCCTTTAGGCATCTACATTCAGGGGGAAAAAAAAGAAAGAAAACAAGGTGAATATTGTTATGAGACGCTTCTGATGCATCAACCAAGAGACCATGTTTTGACTTTCCTAACAACTTTTACATCCAGTTTAGGAACTCATTCCTTCCACATTTCTCTCTTAGAGGCCCCAAACCAATGACTAACGAAGAGCAATGACTGAGACCTTCAGCAACTCAACCTGCCTATACCAGAGGTCATCAAATAAATATTCGATATGCCTTTAAAGCAACAAAAGCCTCACAGATGAAAGATTAAATATCATGACTATCATGTATTTTGTTTGTTTGTTTGTTTGTTGTTTTTCTTTTTGTGGTACGCGGGCCTCTCACTGCTGCGGCCTCTCCCGTCGTGGAGCACAGGCTCTGGACGCGCAGGCCCAGCGGCCATGGCCCATGGGCCCAGCTGCTCTGCGGCACACGGGATCTCCCCGGACCGGGGCACGAACCCGCGTCCGCTGCATCGGCAGGCGGACTCCCAACCACTGCGCCACCAGGGAAGCCTGACTATCATGTATTTTTAAAAATTTGTTAAATAAAAATAACATTTGCACACAGTGGGCCATTTATATAATTCAGAAAGGTATAAAATAGAGAATAGTCTTCTCTCACCATTTCCACCAGTCTCTTTATCTTTCTGTCTTTAAAGGCATGGACACAAATAGGATTATTCTATAAACTCCTTGCATTTTTTTTTTCTTCTTAACAATAGCATTCTTGTATTTATGGCCACTAGGTTGTTACTGATTTTTTGTTATTATGAAAACTGCCACAACAGCTCCTTTTACACAAAAACCTTGAATACTTTTGTAAGTATATTCATAGGGTAAATTCTCAGCAGTTCCACGGCTGGGTCAAAAGGTAGGTGTATTTAAAGTCTTCACAAATATTGCCAAATTTCCTCAAAAATATGTTGTACTAACTCATGCCCTTCATCAAGAGTATATATGCAATAAATGTCAATCTGGGGGACTTCCCTGGGGGTTCAGTGGTTGAGACTTTGCCTTCCAATGTAGGGGGTGCAGGTTCGATCCCTGGCTGGGGAGCTAAGATCCCACATGCCTTGTGGCCAAAAAAATCAAAACATAAAACAGAAGCAATACTGTAACAAATTCAATAAAGACTTTAAAAATGGTCCACATCAAAAAAATCGTTAAGGGGCTTCCCTGGTGGCACAGTGGTTGAGAGTCCGCCTGCCGATGCAGGGGACACGGGTTCATGTCCCGGTCCGGGAGTATCCCACATGCCGCGGAGCGGCTGGGCCCATGAGCCATGGCCGCTGAGCCTGCGCGTCCGGAGCCTGTGCTCCGCAACGGGAGAGGCCACAACAATGAGAGGCCCACGTACCGCAAAACAAACAAACAAACAAAAAACAACGTTAAAAAAATATCAATTTGGTATTATCAAATTTAAACTCATTTGATAGGTAAAAAGCAGTATCCCATTTTTGTTTTGATTTACATTTTATTTAATTTCAAGCAAGGCTGAGCACCTTTACATGCATTCTTTTTGTTTACTGAAGTATAGTTGACGTATAATATTAGTTTCAGTACAATATAGTGATTCAATATTTTTATAGATTATACTCCATGTGAAGTTATTATAAAATATTGGCTATATTCCCTGTGCTGTACATAACATCCTTGTATCTCTTGTTTATCTTATAGCTAGTAGTTTGTTCCTCTTAATCCCGCCTTCACCTATCTTGCCCTTCCCCCTAACCATCTTCGCAATGGTAATCACTAGTTTGTTCTCTAGTATCTGTGAGGCTCTTTTTGTTTTGTTACATTCACTTGTTTGTTTTATTTTTTAGATTCTACATATACATGAAAAGATACAGTATTTGTCTTTGCATTCTTAATGTTGCAGGAAATCTGGATGCTTAGGAGGATCAACCTACATTAAGTGGTAATTTATGGCATATAAATTAAAGAGCAACTAAGAGAAAGGATAGGTTATTTGTCTAGGATAACTCAGCAGTAAAGCTAGGGATCTGATATATTTTCCACATGCTGCATCTTCAAATATTAAAGCTAAAACTCCCTCTCCACCATATATATCAGTACTAAAGAACAACTAGTCAATTTTAAAATTATGGATATTTAGAACTGTTATTCAAAATGCCTTTTGTACAATTTCTTGCATTTCTTTAACTATATCATACCACTGAACAGAAAGTACCAAATATAAGCATATCAATAACAAAAGTGGCTAAAATTGTTAGTAGTTGTATCTAATGCCAATGAGAAGGGAGATTCTCCTAGTTTCAAATGTATTTTGAACTCTTTGGGTCTAGTGACCCTTCAGAATGCAAGTTAGGGTGACCTCCACTTGTTGCCACCCATGGCACCTCATGGTATACTACTGAATCTGTGCTTAAACCCATTTACCATTTGACCTTGATGTATCAATTTTCATATACTAAGTACATCAGAAAATCATACTTACCTTGCATTCCTCATCCAGCAAATCTAGAATGCCCAGTTTAGATTCTATAAGATTAATGCAAGGTTGATTATCATAAAAATCTATGAGTGTCCATGGAATTTGTTCTTTCATATATTCCTCTTGTTCTAATTTGAAGACATGCTGAAATGAAAAAAAAACTGGCATTACTGGATCATTGTCATAAATAATGTTAGTCAAGAAACATTTATAAAAGGACACCAACATAATTTGAGATAGTCAATGGTTTCTAGCAACAATCTTGGAGAAGCATGATTTACATGCAGAGAACAAAATAAGAAAGCAAATATAAACCACAGACAGTAAAGCCTCAGCAATATAGGATTTTCGGCAAACAAGAAAATCTAAGTATGTGAATACTTAAATAGCTGATAAATATGGCAGTCTTTTTGATTTTTTGATATATATCCCAAACTGCACTATATACTTTTTGGTCCCTTAAATTATTGCACAGTGTTGCTGACCACATGGGCACAGAAATACCTTAGCTGGCCTTGAACAACTATGCAGAGAGGATGCCCTCCAGACTACTGAAACATTCTGGGTCATGCTTACAGCATAACAAAGTAATTCTCTTAAGGGACTGCGGTGTTGAAGTTCATGTGTCTCAGAATTAGATTAACAGTTGGCTGTCTTTTGTGTCTGCCTAGATTATCCTCCACCGTCAGGGAATCTACGGCTCACTTTTCTGGCTTCTACATCCAAATCTGCAAGCAGCTGCAACCACTATGACTCCATTGCTATTTCTGCTAAATGCTTCTCATCTCCATTGAGAAGCAATGGCCGAAGCATTTAGCAGAAATATGTATTGACTGCCTATCCTATGCCAGTCACTGCATACCATTAGCCAAAGAGACATGGGCTCTACCCTCATGGACTTTGAAGACTAGTGGGAGAAACAGAAATCAAGTAATCACAAGAAATATAATTACAAACTGTAATAATGTTCCAGAGGAAAATAATGGCGAGCTATGAGAGCAGGAGTCCTTATCCAGTTTGGATACAGGGTGGCGAGGGAAGGCTTCCTTGAGGAAGGGCTGTGTGATCTGAGTTCTTCAGTGAAAGGTAGTTAAGTCGGTCCAGGAGGGAAGGGCAATCCAACCACTGCTGCAGCTCCTGCTTCAAGCTGCACAGCCAATGAAGCCAACCCATAAATTCTAGTCTCTACAGATGCTAATGACCTCTACTCATTTGTTCTTGGAGGGTTCTGCTTTCTTTCTTGTCTCCTTTGTCACCTTGGTTCATCTCACACATCTTGCAACTTTTCTGGAAAGATAAGCCCTCTGTGGCTATTACCAGACAACATATATTTCCTAGAACCCAAAACCCCATGAAACTTAGGGGTTACCAAGATTTCTGATGCTTTACTCTCCTCACGCATCTGGAACTTTTCCACTTTATTCTACACTTATTATGATGCTGCTCTTGGCTCATTTAGAGCACTTGTAGTCTAACGAGCTGCAGAAGCTTTAGTTAAAAACAACAACAACAACCAAACCTGTCATCCATATGAAAATTTATGTCATGTTAATTAGAAAGCAAATTTCTTCTGTTCTTTTGATTAATGAGAAGGCAAATAGGGCACCATGTGTCAGCAAGATGCCCTGTCTGATGGTACCAATAATTTCCAAAACAATGAGCCCTCTTTTTTAAAATTCATTAATTTACATGCAGTGCAGTTCACACACTGACAACAAAAACACTGCTCGAAACTTTAGAGCCTGTTTCTCATACAAGTCTCTATGTTTAGTTTGGCAAAATCCATGGGGCCTCAAAAATTTTCGATTCTCAATTGCCAAAATGACAGGTGGGCATGAGGTTCAATATGGCAAGAGATCCTTGGTGAATAAACCAAGCACTAAACCTGCTAATCGCCATGTTTCTCCTGCCCACTGCCCTACCCACAGCCCCTGCTGAGCCCTAAGCACCAAATTCTTTACTGTGAGACCCCATGCTCCTAGTCACAGCTAGTCAAGTGCCAGAGATCTCTGATGAACGAATGAACTGGGTTAATCAAATTCTGTTTCTAGGGTATAAGAACTAGGAAACAGGCAATTAACAGTGGAAGCTGATGCTGAACGAAGTCAAGATGAATGAGAGCTAAACAAGTTAAGAGGATGGGAGCATTCCAACCACTGCTTGGTTCATAGGAAGTGTGAGGTGAGTGAGGAAGTAGAAACCTTGACAAAATATATACAGAACAGAAGAAAAATATATGCCATCTGATAAGAGGGAGTGGAGCAGTTGTGCAGAGAGAGGCTAAGATGCAGTGTGTGTGTGTGTGTGTGTGTGTGTGTGTGTGTGTGTGTGTGTGTGAGAGAGAGAGAGAGAGAGAGAGAGAGAGAGAGAGAGAGAGAGGAGAAACAGATGGATAGAGACAGAAAGAGGGAAGTAGAAAGGAGTCAGAAACACACACGCAGAGATATGAAGTCCTTGAGAAATAAACAAATTAGCCAGTCCTTAATAAGGCTGGCACTGGTTCCTTATACTTCTAGTCACCTTGTGCCAAAATATACTGGGAAAGAACAGAAGGCTGTGCCATTGATCAAAATATTAAGAAACTCAGGAAAACCTTGAGAAAAAATAAAGCTCAATTTAGTCTCTGATAGGTTTTTATTAATGTTCCTTATGCAGAGATGCAAAATACACCAGTCATATTCTTGTAGAAACAGTCATAAGCCTAAGATTTTAAGATCACCTCTACATTATTTCACTGTACTAAGTACCTTAATTTGCTAAATAAAGGTAGTCCAAATTTTTATCAAAGTGCATGCAATATTTTTTGAAAATGAAAGAGTTTAAAGGTTTTATGATGACAAGCAACAATCCTTTGTCCTATCCCTCCCCAACCCCAGTCTCATTCCCTGGAAGTGACCATTTTTAACTCCCTCAGCTATTTCTTCTGATATTTACCTCTAAAGAATATGCTTACCAGCTATTTTTTATTTATTCATTTGAAACATTATCTATTGATTTATTGATATATATGTAGAAAAGAGAATATGTCCTGGCTTTCTTGTTCTGACCTCTTGCTAATACAGCAAGTAAGAGTTAAGACAGTCATAACTCCACATATAGTTAGCCGCAGGAACTGAAGGACATCCCTGGGATCAAAGTTTTACACCCCCTATATTACTACTTAACACACTTTCGGCTTCCCTCTCTCAATTTATTTGGACCAAGTTTTCACTATTCTCAGACAGCAATCCAAGGATGACCTTGAATCCAATCTGGACCATAAACATCTTTCCAAGGTTGCAGCATTTACTAATCCTAAATTCCTCAGCAGTTTAGCTGTTTTAGATAATAATTGTAATTCACAACTTCATTTCTGGAACCAAACTTTAAACACATACTGGGAATTCAAGAGAATAATTTTTGGTAGAATATTATTCAAGCAAGAAAATTCTTACCATATTGAATTGTTGCTGTAGTTTTTCATTTGCATAATTTATGCAGAACTGTTCAAAACTATTTATCTCAAATGTTTCAAATCTGTAAAACCAAAAGTAATATGGGAAGAGGAGAAAAAGGAAGAAATAACTTTTAAAAAAATTCAAAATGTGCAAATCAGAAAGAAAGAAATAGGAAATTCCTCAACATTGTGAAAATTTCTTTCCACATCAGTGAAGATAAATAAGGGTTTGTAACTCAGTAACATGAAATATGTACCCAGCAGATAAGCATCAGCCAGGTGGCAGAGAGATTTTTTAAAGGCTGCAGCCTACGGACGTGTCTAACAGTATATGCTTTGGACGGCATATTCATCCTCAAGTAGGGAACGATCAGAATTACGATAAAGCCATTGCTCTTGTCAGGTCACAGATGCACAGTGTCTATATACACATAGAAAGGAACGGGGAATAGAAATTTCATACACTCTTTTGAAAAGCTGAATGAAAAAGGCATTGTAAAGTGCAAATGTACAGGAAGGGTTTTAACATTAAAGAAAGGTACCCAGAGAAGGCAAACTAGCAAATGAAATTAGACTTTTAAAAATTCTCTTCTAATTTTCCCTTCTCCTCACCAGTAAGATACATAATCAAATACCCACTTAGAGTTACTAGATAGTCTCTAGAAAGAAATGCTCAGACCACTAAGCCAAATACACTTACCCATAAATGTCCAGCACGCCGATAAAAGAGTGCTGTTTGACAGCAGAATGGAGAACCTGATTGACATGATCTACAATCCAGTTAAAGAGCTTGGCATAGATGTGCTTGGCCAGTGCATCGCGGGCATTCGTGGCCTGCAGCTTGGAGATGGGCTTGATGTATGTCTCTGAGGCAGTAGCCAGCTTCCGATGGCAGAGCCAGTGACACATCTCCTCGAAGTCCACAGCCATGAGGTCACAGAAGATGCTGAGAGGTTCATGCTTGGGCTGCCAAAAGAGAATGGGTTATTTCCTAGGACCAGATCAATTAAGCAAAAATTTACTAAAAAATACTAACAAAGAGGTAACAATTAAAACCCAGCAATTTCTTTGTTATAACAAACACCAAGATCACCTGAAGCTGATCAATGATAATCACAATCATCCACCAAACCAGCATCTAGGCAGCATTTTGTAATCTCTTCTAGGGCTCATTTTTAAAATTACCTCTTCCTTTGTTTCCTGAGAGTACTTGTTTGGATCTCTCTTCAGGCACCTTCATTCAGTCAGTCAGTCAGAAAATGAGTCAGCTTGTCTACAAATGTTTACTGAGCGTCTATTACATGCCAGCAAACAAAAACAGACATGTACCCTGTCCTCCTAGAACTTAGAGTCACTAGGGGAAATAGGGGTTAACTAAATGATTGCTCCCTAAAATTAAAATTACTACAAAGGAGGACACTATACTAAGATGCCATGTGAAAGGAGAATGCCCTATTGAGGGAGGCAGGAGACAGGGCCTTGAGAAATGGAGTTGAGATCTGAAGGATGAGAAGCTGTTAACTGGGTGAAAGCGTCTTCCAAGCTGAGGGGACATCTGGTATAGAAGTCCTGTGGTGGCAGGGAAACCAGAGATGTGAGGGATTGAAGCTGAGAGAGAAAATATATGAGATGCAGCCAGAGGCTATACTATGGCCAGTCTTTCCGCTAAGAGCAATGGGGGCCCATGGAGGGTGGGGTACTGAAGGGTTATAAACAGTTAACCTGATGGTTATTTGTGTGACTTCTTAGACTAGAATCTCTAATCTAAGTATCCCCTGTATCACCTACAGGGATCCCTGTATCCCCTACAGCTGTCTTCCATATGCTTTGCATGAGTAGGCATTCAATAAATACTTGTTTAATTTAACCCATGTTAGTGCATTATATTTTTCAACATCTTCACTCACACGTTTCAACTGCATCTGATAACACTCCTGGGGAATAGGTAGGGTGAACACTCTTATCTCTAATTTACAAATGAGGAAATAAGATCCAAGAGAAGAGTTTGTTGAAAATCACACAACCAGGGACTTCCCTGGTGGTCCACTGGCTAAGACTCCAGGCTCCCAATGCAGGAGCCTCAGGTTTGATCCCTAGTCAGGGAACTAGACCCCACATGTGGCAACTAAGAGTTCGCATGCCGCAAGTACAGATCCCGCATGCCACAACTAAGACCCAGCACAGCCAAATAAATAAATAAATATTAAAAAAAAAAAAAATCACACAACGAGTTTATATCAGAATTGCCATTAGAACCTGGGTCTCCTGACAGCCTCATCCCCTGACCCTTTCCACTGAAGTAGTCCCTTCCTTCTTTTATCTCCCCTCCTCCCAAGTAATCACTTCAGATACAAATCAGCACCATTGCCAACAACATGGATCAACTCCCTTAAATAAGCAGCTTATTTCATTCATTTATATACATGAATGGTGTGACACCATTTACAAGTGGATCAGCACTCTCTAAACATTCTATTTGAATGGCGTTACCACATTGTTCTATTAGACCAACGTTGTTAACTGTTTTGTTCAAATTTTCTACAACTTAACTAATTTTTGGACTTCTTTACCTACCAATAATTTAGAGAGGTCAGTAATATCCCACTATGATGGATTTGTCTTTTTTTTTTTAACATCTTTATTAGAGTATAATTGCTTTACAATGGTGTGTCAGTTTCTGCTTTATAACAGAGCGAATCAGTTATACATATACATATGTCCCCAAATCTCCTCCCTCTTGTGTCTCCCTCCCTCCCACCCTCCCTATCCCACCCCTCTAGGTGGTCACAAAGCACCGAGCTGATCTCTCTGTGCTATGCGGGAATGTGGCATATATACACAATGGAATATTACTCAGCCATAAAAAGGAATGAAACTGAGTTATTTCTAGTGAGGTGGATGGACCTAGAGACTGTCATACAGAGTGAAGTAAGTCAGAAAGAGAAAAACAAATACCGTATGCTAAAACATATATATGGAATCTAAAAAAAAAAAGAAAAGAAAGAAAATGGTCAGAAGAACCTAGGGGCAAGACAGGTATAAAGATGCAGAGCTACTAGAGAATGGACTTGAGGATACGGGGAGGGGGAAGGGTAAGCTGGGACAAAGTGAGAGAGTGACATGGACATATATACACTACCAAACGTAAAATAGACAGGCAGTGGGAAGCAGCTGCGTAGCACAGGGAGATCATCTCGGTGCTCTGTGACCACCTAGAGGGGTGGGATAGGGAGGGTGGGAGGGAGGGAGACACAAGAGGGAGGAGATATGGGGGTATATGTATATGTATAACTGATTCGCTTTGTTATAAAGCAGAAACTGACACACCACTGTAAAGCAATTATACTCTAATAAAGATGTTAAAAAATATATAAAAAAAATAATGAGAGTGAAGATGATCCAGGACCTTGGAAAAAGAATGGAGGCAAAGATCGAGAAGATACAAGAAATGTTTAACAAAGACCTAGAAGAATTAAAGAACAAACAAACAGAGATGAACAATACAATAACTGAATTGAAAACTACATTAGAAGGAATCAATAGCAGAATAACTGAGGCAGAAGAACAGATAAGTGACCTGGAAGACAGAATGGTGGAATTCACTGTTGCAGAACAGAATCAAGAAAAAAGAATAAAAAGAAATGAAGACAGCCTAAGAGACCTCTGGGACAACATTAAATGCAACAACATTCGCATTATAGGGGTCCCAAAAGGGGAAGAGAGAGAAAGAACCCGAGAAAATATTTGAAGAGATTATAGTCGAAGACTTCCCTAACATAGGAAAGGAAATAGCAACCCAAGTCCAGGAAGCACAGAGAGTCCCATACAGGATAAACCCAAGGAGAAACATGCCTAGACACATAGTAATCAAATTGGCAAAAATTAAAGACAAAGAAAAATTATTGAAATCAGCAAGAGAAAAACGACAAATAACATACAAGGGAACTCTCATAAGGTTAACAGCTGATTTCTCAGCAGAAACTCTACAAGCCAGAAGGGAGTGGCATGACATATTTAAAGTGATGAAAGGGAAGAAACTACAACCAAGATGACTCTACCCGGCAAGGATCTCATTCAGATTCAATGGAGAAATCAAAAGCTTTACAGACAAACAAAAGGTAAGAGAATTCAGCAACCACCAAACCAGCTTTACAACAAATGCTAAAGGAACTTCTCTAAGTGGGAGGCACAAGAGAAGAAAAGGACCTACAAAAACAAACCCAAAACAATTAAGAAAATGGTAATAGCAACATACATATCGATAATTACCTTAAACGTGAATGGATTAAATGCTCCAACCAAAAGACAGAGGCTTGCTGAATGAATACAAAAGCAATACCCATATATATGCTGTCTACAAGAGACCCACTTCAGACCTAGGGACACATACAGACTGAAAGTGAGGGGATGGAAAAAGATATTCCATGCAAATGGAAATCAAAAGAAAGCTGGAGTAGCAATACTCATATCAGATAAAACAGACTTCAAAATAAAGAATGTTACAAGAGACAAGGAAGGACACTACATAATGATCAAGGGATCAATCCAAGAAGAAGACATAACAATTATAAATATATATGCACCCAACATAGGAGCACCTCAATACATAAGGCAACTGCTAACAGCTATAAAAGAGGAAATCGACAGTAACACAAAAATAGTGGCGGACTTTAACACCTCACTTACACCAATGGACAGATCATGAAAACAGAAAATTAATAAGGAAACAGAAGCTTTAAATGACACAATAGACCAGACAGATTTGATTGATATTTATAGGACATTCCATCCCAAACCAGCAGATTACACTTTCTTCTCAAGTGCGCACGGAATATTCTCCAGGACTGATCACATCTTGGGTCACAAGTCAAGCCTCAGTAAATTTAAGAAAACTGAAATCATATCAAGCATCTTTTCTGACCACAACGTTATGAGATTAGAAATCAATTACAGGGAAAAGAACATCAAAAACACAAACACGTGGAGGTTAAACAATACTTTACTAAATAACTAAGAGATCACTGAAGAAATCAAAGAGGAAATCAGAAAATACCTAGAGACAAATGACAATAAAAACATGACGATCCAAAACCTATGGGATGCAGCAAAAGCAGCTCTAAGACGGAAGTTTATAGCAATACAATCCCACCTCAAGAAACAACAAACATCTCAAATAAACAATTTAACCTTACACCTAAAGGAACTAGAGAAAAAAGAACAAACAAAACCCAAAGTTATTAGAAGGAAAGAAACCATAAATATCAGAGCAGAAATAAATGAAATAGAAACAAAGAAAACAATAGCAAAGATCAATAAAACTAAAAGCTGGTTCTTTGAGAAGATAAACCAAATTGATAAACCATTAGCCAGACTCATCAAGAAAAAGAGGGAGAGGACTCAAATCATTAAAATTAGAAATGAAAAAGGAGAAGTTACAACAGACACCACAGAAATACAAAGCATCCTAAGAGGCTACTACAAGCAACTCTATGCCAATAAAATGGACAACCTGGAAGAAACGGACAAATTCTGAAAGAGGTATAACCTTCCAAGACTGAACCAGGAAGAAATAGAAAATATGAACAGACCAATCACAAGTAATGAAATGGAAACTGTGATTAAAAATCTTCCAACAAACAAAAGTCCAGGACCAGATGGCTTCACAGGTGTATTCTATCAAACATTTAGAGAAGAGCTAACACTCATCCTTTTCAAACTCTTCCAAAGAATTGCAGAGGAAGGAACACTCCCAAACTCATTCTATGAGACCACCATCACCCTGATACCAAAAGCAGACAAAGATACTACAAAAAAGAGGAAATTACAGACCAATATCACTGATGAATATAGATGCAAAAATCCTCAACAAAATACTAGCAAACAGAATCCAACAACACATTAAAAGGATCATACACCATGATCAAGTGGGATTTATCCCAGGGATGCAAGGATTCTTCAATGTACAG